CAGCATCGTTCACAGAAGGACAGACATTAGATTTGTGGCCAATGCCACCACATTTAAAGCAAACCAATTTGGACTGAATCATAATTTTACGTGGAGGCACTTTCAGAAGGGCAAGTGCAGCACCAGCAACAGCAGGTTCAATGGCAGGGGACCTTTTCAATAAGCTCACCCAAGTCATTTTTCACATTCAACCAAGTAAATCCCTCAGGCGACAGCTTATAAAGTTGTAGAAGCTTTTGTCTAAGCTTCTCATCACATATCGCATAGAAACACCAAATTCGTTTGTGCTAAGTAAGAGGAAAAACGTCATGGCTACCTGATTCTAAAAGCTCCATCTTTTCCGTCAAGGGGTCATTCAAAGTGAAAAGCTTTAAAAGCAATCTCAGAAGCATATCAGCCTTCTGCTTAGCAGTCATTTTACCAAAGTCTTCATAAAGGTGATTCCAAATAGCATGTCCAGAGAGTTTTCTGAAACACATACTTGTGTATAATCGTGTCAGGAAGTGTTTTTCTCATCAACGCCCAAACAATACCATGGTATTGGGAAAGAACCTTATCTTCGACTCGGAATTCAAAAACAACGACATCAGGAATTTCCTTAAACCGATTGTTAACGAACATGTCTAAATCACAATTGAATTCATACAGTTGATTCAAAATCATATTAGGCTATTGATGGTACTTAGCAAATTTAAAAAAGTAGTTTTGCCAAAAAATGTGTTAAGGATTGATTTGATCTGCTCTACGGATTACTACTATTTTGACTATTACCTCTAATAGCAAACCTATTCAAGTGATTCTAGTATTCTAGAAGGAGGTCAATCAACAGATAATTCTATATATTAAAAGATTAAACAAATTATATAATAATTCTGACTCAACTTCTCGATTAGTTGATACCCTATTCCCTATCGAATTACATTGTCTTTATACAAAGCAATACATGCCTCAATATGTTATAGAATTTCATATTGTAATTTTTTGCATCTGCTTTGCGCATTTTATAGATTAATTCAAATTTCTGAGAATTTTTCACATAAATTACCAAATACATTTCCTATACGAAATCCTAAATCCAAAATGATATTTGTTAAATATGGTCTTTGTATTGGATAGTTTAAGTCTATATAAATTACACCCATTAGTTCATGAAGGAAATTGCCAATAATAATACAAGATTATACTATCAAAAATTTAAAATGAGGACTATTGAAATATTTATTAATAAAATATTTTAGTGCTATTGATTCATATTGTGTAAAACTGTTATTTGTGTAAAAACTGGAAAAGATAAAAATGAGTACTGAAATGAGTTTCCCCTTAGAGAAATTTCTTCAAGAAAGACTAGCATTTTCTGTAATGAGAGCTATTGAAAGAAATCTAATTATGCAAAGGCTTCGACTTTTTGAACAAGAAATAATTCTCCATTTGATGGCCTTGAATAACTAAGCCTGTCAAAAACTGTATCAGCAATTACATATTGCTGGATAAAATGTATTTCATTCTTGAACATATCGGGCCAAATTTGTAATACATCGGATATATAGGACAAAACTTTTGGTTTATATTCATCCACATCTTCGTCAGTAACATCGATTGCTTTAGAAACTTCTCCAATCTGTGAATAGATATAGTTTACTTGATTTCTAATCAGGGTATTGAAATATGGATTGCACAGGGAGACTTTCATTTTGGAAAGTGTTACAATCCATAAAAGAGCAACATCATTCACAATTTGTTTCTTCAATATTTCTTCATAAGAAGACACCTTAAAAATTTTAATCAACGAAGATTTGAAAGATACATCATTTTTTAATATGGTCTTCAATGAGAGCAAATGAGCCTTATTATCAGCTAAGAGATTTTTTTCATATTTTAGCAAAGACTCTAAAGTATTCTGAAAAATCTTTCTTTGCTCATTTCTGTAGACTTTAACTACTTCATAGACACCACTTTTAACTTGAGGGCCCATTATAAAGTTTCTTTTCAAAAGAAGTATTTTTCCTTCAATAGCTTGCTTTAAACGAGTAATGCCATTGAGTTGCATCCTTAGAGATATTCCGACATCCCTTTCAAATCCCATTTGCATTAAAATAGCAAAAAAATTGACTAAATTACTAGGCAAGTCTTCATCAGCCCTAATTTTAAAGTTAATCCCATCTCTCAAGTACCTAATATTTTCATCCTCATCATCATTATTTTGATTCATTAAAATATTATATCTCAATGCTTCTTTAATAAGTTCTTGTGAGTTTAATTTTAAGGAAATACTTGTCTCATCATATTTGTTGTTTTCAGATACAAAACCATAGCCAAGTAAAAGTTCAAGATTTGATTTATCACCATAGTTATTATATAATTCACCAAATTCATCTCCTTTTTCGAAACTTTGAAACGAAACATGACTTCCTTTTGACTCTTTAAGCCCATTCCATTTTACTTTATAATCATTCTTATGATTCAAGAGGTCAATTATTGGTATTAATATTGCCTTCTGTATATCACTCCTCGTTATCTCATTTTTCAATAAGATATATGGGAGACCTCTTGAAGTTAAAATACTATACGACCAAAGGTAATTTCTGAAGCTTGTCCAAGACTTGTTCTCGCTGTTCAAGTATTCATATAACTCGCCATTATAGGAGTTTAAAGATATTCCAGCAATATTATCGTCGTAAAACTTCATATCTTGTAATATTTGCTGCTTAAACTCTTCTTCCAGTGAATCTTTAATAAGCTGCTTCATAAGTCCATGCCATTCAGTGACTAGCTTACTGAAATTCTTTTTGAAAATTGTTTCAAGATCGGTTCCATTCACCAAATCAATTTCATTTGAATTCCAAAAATAAGGGATATTGAAATCTTTAGGCAAGATTTCAAAATACTGTTTAAAGCGGTTATCATTAAGCGATGTATCGAACGCTAATTTTGATATTAACAAGATTGTCATTTCATTATTGCTGAAAGAAGAATTTGAATGTGCATAATTAATCACCTGCAAATATTGTTCCGTTAGGTGAGGTCCAATAACCATCTGTTTGGGTATCCTTATCAATTCGTCACCACTCAGGAAATCATGTATGAGTGCCGAATATCCCTTTTGTTTGCTATATTGGAACTCTATTCTCGAATCTAAAAACGCACCGCTTTCTCTGGCCCAAGATAAAAACTCTCCTAAGCCTCGTTCTAACATGCTTGAAATCGATGAAAGCCTCTTCCCAATACAGGAGAAAATTGGTTAAACTCGTCTTAATGAAATGCTTCTTCTCAACCAAATCACATTAGCCCTGAATAAAAAAACATCCTCGAAATGAATTAGTGTACAACACAGTTCAAGAGAAAAAATTTTAAAAATTTAGAGTTATAAGTCCGGGAGTTATTAGGGTCTAATGAGAAAATTGTATTTACTAAGTCTATAGGCTAATCGAAGAAAATGAGACCGAAATAAATGCTGCAAATCTAACAATAGTGTATGATCATTAAATTCCCCTGAGAGTGAAATTTCAATAACAAATCAGCTGTTGTGGCTTTTTGAGACATTTAAAAATTTTCAAATAAGCAATCGTGAGACTTTAGACTTAACATAAGGATAGTTTGGTATGATAAAAGTGTTTACTGCCATAGTATAAAATCAATTAAATCATGAACTATGTGTTTCTGCATATCATGACGATGATAGCCACGATAGTCACAAAATTGGGTTTCTCTTTGTTTATTTTAATTCAATAGCTAATAAGAAGTTTAATAAATTACGCTACATGAAGTTATATCATTAACTTGGTTCATATGTTGCAATCTGCAGCTCGATCATATCTTCATATTACAGAATCTCTGAAATACTTCAACATTATAGTAATTCAAATATTATAGTAATTCAAATTAGGAAGTGTATACTGGAAGATGAGAGATTTCATGACCCTACTGTTCCGTTATCAGGCCCTATTCAGTTTCTTGAACAGGTCGGAAATTATTCCTTTGACAGATAGCACAGCTCCCTTCAAAATTCAACTGAGGGGATTATTGTCAAGGATAGTTGGAACGGTTTTGAGACGAGCCCCTGAGAATGTTAACTGATCGACTTGAAAGATGGGGTTTCGGAAGCTCTTACCGATATTCATAGTTCAGGCCTGAAAAGGACGATATAGCTTTGTGGATTAGTTACAAGTGGTTGATGTAACACTTGTCTTCGGTGTTCTAAGACTTTCAAAACCATAAATAGAAATCTATATATACGTTAGTACCTGGAATATTATAGCTCATGACGACAGGCTACCATGATTCATCGAGAGAAGGACAGAATAATTTCTCGATGTCAATGGAATAATTGATCGCCTAGTTCTAGATATCTGATAATGGCTTGCTGGTTGCATTCTTTACCATTTATTCTGTAGTCACAATTTAGCATCTTAAAAACTACGCTGCATTTGTGTGAAGCTTGTCATCATTCTTACTGTAGGAACAGAAGTTCATGCCTGATTCGAGTTTCCGAGTATTTCTATTGAGAATCAAGGCAATGGTTTCCTCCCAATCTTTAAAATGCTCTTTGTAAAACTAGTGCTCGCCATAGAGTGAATAAATTTTTTACTGACTTCGATTGCTTTTAATATTACTGTATTGTTTTCTTAGTAATGTATATTTTAGAACAGAGAATTAGTATGCAAAAATACAAAGCTTGGAAAGAAGCATTGTTCATTAGTTTATCGTACTGAATCTGCTGTTACTTTTATGATATACTATTCGCTTAAGGCGGCAAGTATCTCATACACCCCATAGGCACCAGGATCTGGTGGAAATTCTGTTTTCTCTGACACCCCACCCACATATGTGGCACGGCCCAACTTTGGACGAAGTCTTCTAGTACCCTCTGCTGCCTTTCTTGCTGCTTCAACTGCCAAATGAATATCCTTAGATTCAGAAAATGAACGACAAAATGGGATTAAGACATCCATAACTGTTCTATGACCTTCTCTTGCTTTTGTAAATTCACCTAAGGTATCAATCCCATGATCTAAGGCGATAGCAATGATATCATTATTATCACTGATATCGCCATTAAGGTTAGTTTCAAGTTTATTGATAAAGGCCTTCATGAAAATAAAAAGAATAGCACCTAGCGTACCGCCCATATCGTCTTTTAAGACTTTAAGAATAGCATGAAGAACATTTATTAATGAACCACTTTCGGCCACACCATTATCTAATGATTTAATAATTGCCCTTGCACCAGTTTCTAAGGTAGTTCCACAATCTCCATCTCCCATCTTAGTGTCCCAGTCGGTTATTTCTGGTTCTTTATCAATTATGTTCTGTGCTGCCTTACGAATTATTCTTTCGAGCACAGAAGAATCATACGTAATATCCCGCTTAATGTCTATACTTTCATCAAGCTCTTCATACCCTTGGAAATTATCAATAATTCTACTTTCAGGATTTAAAATTTGAGACAGAACGTAGTGATTCTTCGGAAAATTTGTCGCTTCTGTTGGAGCGTCAAAGAGATCAAAAATAGTTCGTTCAGTAAAATCATTATTAGCAGCTTTGGTAACATTGAACAATGAGATTGTGAAAATTGGAGCATTAATAGATGTTATATAAGATCCAGAATAAACCCTAGATGGCTTTATATTATAAGAATCAGCAAGGTTCTTTATAGTACAATATAATAAGGCCTTTTCCTCTATAACAGGTAAACCACCAAGATTATTGAATAGTAAAATAAATTGATCATTATCATCGTAGTCTAAAAAGCCTCTCTCCTTGTCATTTTTATCAAGAATTAGCTTTAATAAATCAGGTATGAGTTCTTCGTTGGAAGGTATATTCTTTGTTTTCATAACACCAGGCTCATTGTGTATACCAAGGCCAATTTCTATTTGGTTCTCTTCTAATTTACCATAATCTGCATTGTTTGCATGTCCAGGAATATGGGTGTGATCTAGCCCAGCATTGACAGAAGCAATGCACTTGTTAGCAGAAATACCTAAATTATAGATTTGGTCAATGTTATAACCCTTTTCACTTGCTGCACCTAAAATTTTCATAATAAAGATACAACCGGCTAATGTTCGGCGACCGACAAGCTTTCCAGTGGTTCTACTGACAGCAACATCATCAGTAGTACGAAGCAACCTAATTTTTGACTCACCAAACTTTGAAATAAGCTCTTGGGCTGCCATACCAAAATAAAGATTGTCCCCTGTATAGTTTGTAATAAGAAATATAGTACCAGCCTCTGAATGTGTAGCCTTCTCCGCGGACTTGATATTTTTATAGTTTGGACTTGCAAAAATATCACCTTGTGCTGATGCTGTTAACATACCAGATCCAACAAAGCCAATCCACCCTGGTTCATGCCCTGAACCACCACCACTAATTAAGGTGACCTTTTTCAGATCATGCTTATTGTTGAAAACTACTTTCTCCTTTTCTAAAAGGGATAAGCTATCATTTTCATAAATATAAGCTTTCAAACAATGGTTAACAAGATCGTTTGAGTCTTTTGGAAGAAAATGCTTAGGCATTTCTGGAATCTTTTTGTCTTCTTAAAATTTTTCGGAACAGAAGGTGGATATTTTATGCAATATATATTTCATTGGATTCTTAGAAAAATATACAAATACTTACTTGCAGGGTATACAAATTGGGTGAATAATCGGAAAGATGTGTAAAATGTACTTGATATTTGGTAAGTGATGCTTTGGCTGAAATATCGGAATAAAGTTTTGAATCTCACTTTTGGATATGACCCCACAATTATTATTCCGAGTTTAAAATATATATTGAAATAAATTCAGATCATTTAGAATAAAAGAAGCATAGAGTAGAAATATATCCTAATTTATACATCACATTATAATATACTTTAGCTCAATTTATTCTTATTATTAACTTCATCGGGAATGGGACAAAAAATCAGAATTGTCATAGGTTGCGATCAAGCTGGCTATGAATACAAAGAAGCAATTAAAAAAGATCTTCAAAACAACACCCTTATTGAAAGTGTAAAAGATATTGGGGTTCCAAGCAATACAGATTCAACATCTTACCCTCTTATTGGTATAAAAGCTGGTGAGATGATTCAAACAGGTGAAGCCGATCGTGCTATTTTAATTTGCGGGACTGGCTTAGGGGTGGCAATATCGGCCAATAAGGTTTCAGGAATTAGAGCAGTCACTGCTCATGATAGTTTTAGTGTTGAGCGTAGTATTCTTTCCAATAACTGCCAAGTTTTATGCATGGGTCAAAGGGTTGTTGGTTTAGAACTTGCTAGAAGATTGGCTTCTGAATGGTTAACATATATATTTGATGAAACTAGTGGATCCGCTGCCAAGGTTAAGGCGCTTACTGATTACGAACATAAATCGTCACAAGTTTCTGTTGCCTAATATTTAGAATTAATCTAGGTTTATTTATTTATAATAATATTTGGATTAAATCTCATAGCCTGTAAGTAAATTAAATCAATCTCTGGATGAATATAGCTTATATTCAAAATATGGTACTTGTATATTTTATATTTTTCTATAGTCTTTATATTATCACATAATTTCTATAATATTTTCTTGTGAACACTACAATGTAATGAAAAATTAAGCATTTATTCAGCTCCTATAGAAAAATTGTTGCGAAATATTTTTTGCGGCCGTTCTTAGAGTTGCGAGATTCGGTATCTCTCAATCATCCTTAATCATAACTTTAATAGTTGGTACTTTTCGATCAACAACACATTCTAATGCTTTAGGAGCTTCTTCTAAAGGAAAGACGTGAGTGACAAACTTGTCAACATTAATTTTACCGGAACTTATCAAATTAATCACAGCAGGCCAGGAATCCGTATATCTATTAATGAACCTAACATCAACCTCACCTAGGGATAACGGCATAAAAGGAAAGCCATCCAATTCATTTTTCCCTGAAACACCCAAGATTGTCAAAACTCCATTTCTTCTGACTACATAGCAACACGAATTAATGCTGGAGGCGAAACCAGTACACTCTAAAACAACACGAGGCATAACATATTCAGTAGTTCCAAACATTTCCCGGATATTTTTAGCATTCTCTTTAGGGGATATAGATGTATTGTTTTTGTACGTCATAACAGAAGGGACTAATGTTTTGGCAAATTCCAACCTTTCGTCAGATATATCAGATATAACTATAGGATATGCCCCCGAGACGTCAGCAAGTAATAACGTAGCTAATCCAATAGGTCCACATCCAGCAATCATACAAGGTTCTCCAGGATTTAAGCCTCCAGCCTTTCTAATACCATGGAAAGCAACGGAAACGATTTCCGCCAATGCACCTTGTTCGTAAGACATATTGTCTGGCAATTTATGAACAAAGTTTGGATCAGTACATAAATACCTTTGCATGGAACCATTAGTAGGAGGAACTCCTAAGAAAGCTACATCCTCACACAAATTATAATGGCCATCTAAACATAAGTAGCATTTTCCACATGGAACTTGTGGTTCTATCGCAACTCTATCGCCAACTTTAATATCATTGGTGACTTCTCTACCTACTTCAATAACCTGTCCGGCTGTTTCATGACCCAACACTAAATTTTCGGTAACCACTAAATCCCCGATACCTCCCTCTTTCCAAAGGTGAATATCAGAGCCACAAATACCAGTACATTTAATATGTATTTTAACTTGATTAGGTTGACATTGTGGAATTGGAGCATTACCTGCTATAAGTTTATGATCTGGAGTAACGATCAAACATGGGTTTGAGACAGGAAGTGCCTCACAATCTGAACTATGCAAAACCGGAGCCATTATATTTTCTATTTTGAATTAACGATCAATTCTAACAAGGATCATTAGCATATGCCATAATATATATATTCATGTAATCAGTAGAAAAATCTTTTTTATGTTATTACCGCCTTGAAGACGGGTCATTTTTCGGTGGGGTTCGTATAGAAGATTAATGATTTTCTAATCCTTGTTTTTACACTTTGTTGGTGAAGTGACTGTGTGATAATTTTCGCAACTATTTTTCGCGGAATTTATTTCGGCCTGGGGTAAAATAGAGTTATCTCCACAGAATTTTGAGTTTGCGTTTTAAATAATATTTCTCGCGAAAATCATTTCGATCTAAATGATGACTTCTGAGATTATTCCACTAATTATGCCGCAGAAGTAAATCTGATATGGCTGCATGAAAGATCTTCTAGAGAAAAAAAAAAGCTATACTGGGTTGCCTTACTTCATGCTGCTAATATAGCTTCAGTGTACTACTGTTTTATTAGAATCATTTCTATTGGAATATACTCTATATTCTTTGTAATATTTTTATTAGCTAGAAACAGAATATTAGTTTCCGATTAATCGCCGTAGTAAGTAATTATCATGACAATGATTTTAATAGCTAATTTGTAAAAAATGTATATTAACAGAAATGAAAGAATAAAGCTTTACAAATATTTATAATAATAAGCTATTTAGACACGAAGTAAAGGATACTACAAAACCTCTGATTGTTCGCCACTTTGCTTAATAATAGAGGTCATAGAAGCATTTTCAAAATGACTAATAGTAGGACCTTTTTCTGGATCACGTACACCAGCGTGCATAAATGGTAAGTCTTTTGCTATTTGAACAGCCTTCCAAGGTTGCATAACAGGAGTTTGGTTAAAAATGATATCCATTTCTTCCAAACTTCTACCTGCAGTTTCAGGATATAAGAAGTAAACTACTGGCACCATCAACAAATTGATGGCAGCAAAAATGGTGTAAGTGTAAGCTTCGATATTTGCAAATGCAACCGGAGTAATCATAACCACCATAAAATTAAAAGCCCAATTAGTAGCAGTAGATATAGCAGCACCAGGTGCTCTGATTTGCAAAGGCAATAATTCTGGAGGGAGAAGCCATGTAACCCCCAAATAGGACATACCAAAACAAGTGTTGAACATGAAGAGGAAAACGGCAGCGGCAATACCAGCAGACGTACCTGCGTGTGTTCCTTCGGCTTCTATAGCCTTCCAATTTGTCCCAGTTAAAATTGCCATACAGAAAGCTTGGCCTAAGGCACCATAAATCATCAAATTCCTTCTACCAAACCTTTCAATGGTATAGAATGCTACTAGGGATGCCAAGAAATATTCAGTACCATTACAAGCAGCTAAAATTCTTGATTCTAATGGATCCATATGAATATAGTTTTCAAAAATTGTTCCTGCGTAATATGTAATAAGATTAATACCTGAGATTTGTTGCATCATTTGGGAGCAAGCAGCAAGACACGTTCTGTGGAAGTTTCTTGCCTTTCCTTGCTTCACTAAATCTCTTAAATTAAAAGACTCTGCTCCTTGAGCTACTTCAAGTTCAATAGCTTGTTCAATTTCAGTGATTTGATCTGATACTAAAGGATCATTTTCTGGTAAGTTATATAAAGCCGAAAAAACGATCCTAGCTTCCTTTCCTCTTTTCCTTTTTAACAACCATCTTGGTGACTCAGGAAACTTCAAAATTAATGGAAGAATTATTATAGGAAATATACATTGAAATGCAACAGGGAATCTCCAACTAACTTGATGAATTGTATCCGTACCATCGAGGAAATAAAACGCGAAATCGACCCAGTAACTTATGGTAATACCTAAGGCAATAAGGGACCCCTCCATCATAATTAATTTACCTCTCATCTCAGGTTTAGCCACCTCTGCTTGCCACACTGGAACTGTCGCAGTAATGAAACCATTACCTAAACCAGTCACAATCCTTGCAACGATTAAATGTGCTAAGGTGTATGCACAAGCCTGCAATGCACCACCTATCATCATAATAGCAGCACCAAGAAAAATCGTTCTCAAACGACCCAACCTATCTCCGAAATAAATTGTTGATAACGCAGAAACCATACAACCGATTTCATATAAAGCAATGGCTGCACCTTGAAGTGTCGCATCACCATCTCCAGGCTCACCATCTCCACCAGTATCGATAGAAGGGAACGTTTTACGAAATGATTTCAATGTCAATAAGGAACCCATAACCCCTTGGTCATACCCGAAAAGTAAAAACCCAAGACCAGCAACACAGGAAACACAGAAATTCAATCTATTACCATGCATTCCTAAGAAGGAATGAACCTCAGAAGTGGGCTCACTCTCTTCTTTATGCTCAACGCTGTTCGTCTTTGAAAGACTTGAAGTCGACATATTAAAATTATTTTTTAAGTTGATGAGCTATGAAATATTAGATATTTCGTTTAAATCATCAATCAAAACATGAGATTTCGTTTCCTATTTATATTCATATTGTTTTGTTCGGCTCTGGTGTTACATTTGATTTTTCATACTTGGAGTCCCACCCCTTCCCCCCGCTTTTGGTATATTTTATTTAAAGGTGCTTGCATTACATCATATACAGAAATGGGTTATGCTGCGAATTCGTCTATATACAGTATTTATATATTGAGTGGAAATTCTCGGATTGTTAAATTAGTAAAATTCGTGTATTGAATAGCAATCAAAATTTCCCCAGTAGGACAAATGCGCTGAACAATCTATTTTCATGCTCAACAAAGATGGAAAACTCACGCGTGAGAAAAGCATTTACCCCGGAATTGGCTGAGATAGATTTCGGAAGAATAAACGGAACAAATTGACATCTGGGGATTTAGATTCAGTTTCACACCCTAAAAGCTTATCAGGCAATAGAAATATGGAGTGGCTCCAACGGGGGCCGTTTGATAATACTTTTATTAAATAAGGCCTGCAGGGCGAAAATGGGAATTCAGAAATTTTTATCACTGTTCCACTAAGACCGTAAGCGCAAGGTCCTGATATCAAGAAGCAATTTTTTGGTGACAACTAAGGGCAGTATGCGACTATGAAATAATTAAATGCTGTAAGCTGTTTTCGTTCGAAAAGTAGGTTTACTTGAAGTATAGATTTCATAAGAGGAGTGTCGCAATGCAAGTTAGTCTAAGAACGAGGCGTCGGATAAATCCGCCGGAAATCTAACGGCAAAACCACAATCGTATCATATACGCCTAAGATTGTATTATTATAACGTTTTGTAGACAAAAAGTGTTGTTACTTTACCAGGAAGAGGAAGAAAGCGTAGATTAGCCGGGGGTGTTCGTGCATATTTTTGAGCACCCTCAATTGGCCGTCTTTAGATGCATATTGAACCTCTTTGTAATGCCCGGAAATCTAGGATAGACCAGCCGTATAATTCAGAAGCTGAGATTGTGGTGAGTATTGTTCTATTCCGTTAATGAAAATAAACAGGATGTTCATCCTACTGCGTAAATAAAAGTCAGCTCAGACAACATCTTCGACGTTCCTTTTTGCAGTTTTAAAAGGTGTTCGTAATTTTATAAGAGAATGTAATTTTTTAAAAAAAAAAGAAAATGCCATTTTTCGCAACTTAGTCTTGGTAAACAGCTAGAGTAACTGTAATCTAATACGAGTAAATCTTCAAATCGCATATATTTAAGTTACTAATTTCGTACATAATAGTGCTCAATAATATTAATCGTATATAAACTATTAATCGAATTTCTTACTCCAGGTGTCACCTTTCCACCATCTGAAACCAATTCCATAACCCCACGGATCATCCACATATCTAGTAGGGTTTTCAACACCAATTTGATACAATTTAACTAATTCGTCTTTGGTTAATTGAGGCAATCTGACATTTGTCTTGATTCTTTCGAGATTAGACGATCTAGGTAATGTAATTCTTCCTTCGAGTATGTGATAAGCGTTAGTGATTTCATTCACGCTTACCTCATATTTTTCTGCCAATTCATTTATGTATGGAAGCTTAAGTACCGGTGCTCCAGTACCACCAACAGGACTATATGCCTCGACCAAGATCTTATGTTCCTGGCAAAAATCAACTAGATCTTGTTGTGGCAATTGAGGATGATACTCAATTTGATTAATAACGGGAACAATCTTTGCCTTTTGCAATAATTTCCTTAGCTTTGGAATGGAGTAATTCGAAACCCCTATCGATCTAGCTTTATTAGTTGCCTTGATATCTTCAAGCTTCTTATAGGTTTCAATGTATCCCACCCCATCAACTGGATCATCATCGTATTTCAAGCTTCCGTCGTCATTCTTAGGGGCTGTTGGTAAGCCATTTTCATCTCCTGCAAGACATACAGGCCAATGTTGTAAAAATAAATCCACATATTCAATTCCTAAAGCGGACAATGATTTATCTAAGGATTTTTCAGGACTATGATGGAATGATGGCCAAACCTTAGAAGTTATGAATAAATCTTCACGTTTGTAACCTTCTGCAAATAATACTTTCAATGCTTCCCCAATATATGGCTCAGTACCATAGTACCACGCCGTATCGATATGACGATATCCCGCCCTGACGGCAGTAATAACTTGGTCCTTGACCGCAGCGTTGTCTTCAGGGGGGACAGTTCCTAAACCCAATGCTGGAATTTTATGACCGTCATTCAAGTCGAAGTAGACTCCTGTAGCTAGCTTATGTTGTGGCATCGTTCTATTCAAAGTATAATTAATCGTTTCTAATAAATACTAGTGAAAAAAAAGTAGTGACAGCTATCAATGGAGGGTTTGACATTTAAATATAGTTAGTAAGGCCAACTAAATAGCAATCCTATTTTGAAAGTGCGGAATTGCGATTTTCTTGAATATGCTTGCGCTAAGAATATTTTGTATTGCTATATAGTGAATGTTGCTCGAAGTATAGCAAACATTGCTCTACTGTAACGAATGTGATTTTGACAAAATATTGTAAATTAGTAAGTTATGCAGGGGTATGAATTGAATCAAAGAATCAAGAGTAAGCCATACTCCGAAATTAGTGTAGACAGGATAATAATACATGAACTATAGACAATATAAGGAAAATGAGTCTCCAACACGAGTCTCAAATTTCCATGTCACCGACAACATCATTTTCCATTTCATAGTCGTCATCGTCAATCAACGCTTCATCATCGATGTATTCATCCATGTACATATCATCTTCGACGTCAACATCGTCATCTTCTTCACCATCCTTATTACTGTTTGTTTCATCAATATTAGCATCATTGCCATCTCTATTTGTAGATGGATTTCTGTTGCCATTGACCTTTGAGTAGTGAATCTTATTAAGGGCAGTCAAATAAATAAACGAAACTCTCTTCTTCTTCTTATTATATATAAACCAGTAATAGGACCACATAGTTTGATACGGGTAATTCAAATCTTCCAAAATTGATTGGTCAGATGGCTGGAATTCGTAAATTTGACAGTTTTCAAAAAGATTAGGGTTTACTGGAGGGGAATTGTTGTCTGGAGATATTGATCCATGTTTCGAAGCAGAAGCCGAAGTGGTATGTAGAAAACTATTGTGTCTCGACTCATTCGGGGTTGGTAATTTGGAGGGTATAAAATCCATATACACATTCACAGTATCCCATATCCAGTTTAGTAAATCTTCTTTCTTGCCAAGCGAGACCATAATGTTGTTGAACCTATGGATTAAATCCTCAGCCGAAGCAATTTTGTGAAAATTTTCTGTCGTAGGTTGCAAGTTTGAAAAGTCATGATCTGGATAAGTACTATTCAAAATAGCGATCAAATAGGCGAATGTTTTTCTGGTGGTTATGTTCTTTAAAGGTCCGAATGGGGATTCATCAACATTGGAATTGTTCTCAACAGAACCACTGAGAGAATTTGAAAGATTTGAATTCATATTCTGCGACGACGACAATGAACCTTTATTGAAATTTATCAGAGAGCCACTAACACGCCTTTCTCGTTCGGCTGTATCAATATAACTGCCCCGACGTCCCATCATCGCTTGGTTAATGTTATTTCCCGTGGATGTAGGCGATGCACTACTTCCAAACAAAGGGTTATTTGAATTCTGAAGTTCACGCTCGAGTGATTGTGACAACTGGTTGTCCTCCATTATCTGGTCCAAGTGCTTGTCTATCGTTTTGAATAGTTTTCTGTCCGACCCAATTGGTTTGGTAGTAAATAAGTCACATCCACCTTTTATCACCAAATTATTATCTTGAGACTGAAAGTTCAATTCCTGATTGACTAATTCAATATCCACTTCATCTATAAACTATCGTCAACTGTTAATAAAACATGTCTATCATTATAGAACCAGCACCGCGTACGGTCATTACCTCGTGCTTTTTTTAAAAATTTGAACATACCTTCATCTCGTGTTATTTAATAGTTGAGTAGATAATGTATAAACTGTTCCGAGGACTAAGAGTATTTAATGTTTTACCTAGTAATTGCTAGTTTTTGATTCTTCCAATCTTAAGATTTAATCACTGCATTTACAATAAACCCGAACATGTTCATTATCTTTGAACCTCACATTGAACAAAACACGACCCACGTTATCATGAAATTAGAATCATGATTATGTTAATTGTATACTCAATATAACCCGTTCATAAATCTCCTTCTGTCTATATATTTCAAAGAGTAATGTATGCGCTGAATTCTCTTGGCTCGTTATATTTCTTTAATTCCATTTGTAGTTATTTGGAGAGGTATTTTAAGATTTTCATTGAACATACCATTCAGACTTATCAGGTCGTACGGAGAAGCCACTACCTTGATATATCTTTCCACAGCCCACCCGTCAATAAGCGATTCGACACCATAAATAGTGTTATTATTTTGATTGCTATCGGTGGAGCTGTTAGTGTCAGCTTTCCGTTTGATGCCTCCTTCTGTTTGAGTTGGCAAATTAAAGCCTTCACATAAGGAATCGTAAGTTAACCTTGATTCTGGGTCAACTGGCTGATGTATATCCATTAGGGTAGCTTTGTCTTTGAGTAATGGTCTGTATGTTTTCATTAGCATTAGGCGGGAAACCATATTCTTTCCCCAATGGTAGCCGAGTGTGGGGACGATTTTCTTCGTTTCACAGTTCTCCAATCTATGTAGCTTGTCAATAAGGTCTTCTTGGCTTGAGTGTTGATCGTCAATAACCGATGTGTTACTATGTTTATTGTATCGGGGGTCAATTTCGGCTTCGTTTAGAGGTAGACTCATCTTTTGTCGTTTATTTAAATTATTGATCTGATCTATGGATCTCAGAAGTTCGTAATAAGCCAATTCGGATTCTTTAGAACTGATTATGTCTTGATTCTGCAGGAAAAGTTGCTGATGCTTAAATATGGATCTGTTGTCCCAGCCCGAATATTGGCCTAATTGGTATTCAAGATTAAGGCTGTCGTCTGCATCTTCATAGATACTTAAATCCGTAATATTCTCAGGATAATCACTCACTTGGTTCGCTGTTATTACGGCAATATTATTATCTTTAGCGATAGCTAGTAAGTGACGATGTAATAACATCAAGTATTGGGTTTTAGCAATTCTATTTTGGTATTTGGGTGTGGATTTAAAAAATGCTTTAAACTGCTGGTCAAGCTTGGTCTTGATTTCTGTGTACTCTTTACTATCAGCCAAAGCTTCTTCTTGTGCCTTTATATGATCTGTTATGTAAGTGGTGTTCGTGATAGCTTCCTCCAATCTTAGGTGGTGAGATATGCTATCAATTATAATGGTCCGTACTTTACCTTTCTCCTGAGATAGTTTTACCGGCAATTGCGTGAAAAGGGTATGGTCTTGGTTTTCAATATCCTGGCAATAAATGCAAGATATATTGTCCATCAGAACTTTCTTATCCGATTTGGAATTGTAATGATCTATCATGTCCTGTAGTCTTCTTGTTTCTAATGGAGATTCTGTTGAAACGTAAATGCATTGATTATTTTGGGGTTCACCAACCAATTGGGTATATATACATAGCTGAAGAAGGAGTTGTGACTTTCCACAACCACTTGCTCCAAATATTTCGGTTATTTCACCTAAGGGGATTCCTCCATTTAATTGTCGGTCCAAAGCTTCAAGTCCAGTCGGAATGAAATGACATATGTCTCGTGTTTGCTCTTTGCCGAATCTTTCCTTTAAAGAGCATTTCGTGGATGCTTCAGTACACTCTTTCTTTAGAATATTTAAGAATTCCTCTACTTCTCTTATTGATCTGCCCAATCTTTTAGATAACTGGGGGAGATTTGTGCTTGATGAAAAATGAACAGAAGACAAAAGGTCAACAACTGTTAGTCCATTTGCCTCTATTGCCGAAGTAAGCATAGCAAAGTTATTCCCAATGTTGGCATCATTGGGAGAGAGCTGTTTGAATATATCCATATTTGCTTAGGTAGATCTGCTACAATAATTTTTTTTTTTGACATTTTTATACGCGTTGCTTAGAATTTACTATTACTCATCAGTTTATTACTGCAAATAATATAAATATCATCTATATCTAACATACACAAGGCTTAACAATGTTAAAAACGAAAATAAGTATCAGTTTGAAATTTTAAGCTAGACCTTCACCGGCTTTAGGAATCATAAAATCCTTTGATTTCAAAAATTTCACTAAGAAGCTTGGTACGCTCCAGCCAAACGCTAGTCCAATACCACCCTTTCTGGAAATGGGAACAACAATAGTTGTTTTAATTGGTGAATACGGCTTAAGTTTAGAATTCTTATTACCAAAGAATTCAAGATCAACAATCGACTCAAAAGTTGCTTTCTGAACATAGGTCAAGTTTACGATGGTATTTTCACCGACAGAAAGAATATCACCTAAACCTAAAATATTGGAATGGCCTTCCACACGGAAATATTTGTCGGTCTTCAAGTATCCACGGGAATCAAGGAACTTTTTATCTAAGAATTCCGAGTTAGGTTTTAAGCCATAAACAGGAATAACAACATCAGCATCTTCGGACAAACCATCTTCAAATATAACCTTAGAACGAGCGCCACTTTCGTCGAAACTAGTACACCTTTTGTTATTGACAACCTTAACTCCTAAGTCAATCAATTTGTCAGAGGATGCTTTAGACTTGCTTTCGCCTAAAGGTTCAAGTGGACCAGCCAGGCCAGTATACAAAACAATTTCCTTTTCTTTGCCATAAAGGAATCCTAGTTCGCCTGCGGTTTCTACACCAGTTGGACCACCACCTAATATGATAATCTTTTTAGCACTTTTGGTTGATTTACTCAATTTCTTGATCGAATCAATAGTGTTTAGATGATCTCCCGACAATCTAAATGCAGCATGATCTGCTTTACAGCCCGATGCTACAACTAGGTAATCGTACTCAATTATCAGCTTGCCTTGAGAATTTTCAACAGTTAACGAATTATTCTCAAAATCAGCAATTTCCACCATTCCTTGAACAAATTTGTAATTAACACCTCCTGAGTGTTTCTTTAACGTTTCTTCTATTGGGAAAATGGTTTGTTCGATTTTTTCTGGCTCTGCAATTAAACGAGGACTGGCCACAGTAAAAAATGCATGAGTAGATTGTGATATTAAAGTAACATGGACTGACTGATCTTTATGGCCAAAAATGGTTTTAGCAGCAAGAACACCGGCATACGACCCACCTATAATTACTATATGTTTTCCTGAATCTGTCATTGAAATTTGAAGTTGATTACTTTCTGAATTTCTATGGAAGTTCCTATTTATTTTATAGTCCCATTCAAATATTCGCGCGCAGTGAATTAGTAATTAACTCCGACAGACGCATACAATACATCAGTAGTAATAAACAAATAAATAATTTTAACTGCCACTCATACATAAGGATGTTTCTACTCAGACTTAGATGTATGAAGAAGTTGCTGGGAACCGAGAGCATTACACTTTTAAAAATAAATAAATATGGAATCCATTACAAAGCTAAGATAAATAATTAAGCTAACATTTCGCTCGCTTTAGAAATCATGAAGTCCTTTGATTTCATAAATTTGATAATGAAGCTTGGAAGGCTCCAACCAAATGCTAAAAACAGGGACACCTAATGTGGTCTTAATAGGTGTATATGTCTTGAGTTTAGAATTCTTATTACCAAAGAATTCAAAATCAACAACAGACTCGAAAGCCGCTATTTGGGAGTATTTTATGTTCACAACAGTATTTTCGCCGATCGAAAGAATGTCACCCAAACCTAATACATTATGATGGCCCTTTACCCGCAAATATTCGTCAGTCTTCAAGTATCCACGAGAATCGAGGAATTTTGCATCTAAGAATTCCGAGTTAGGAGTTAACCCATAAGCAGGAATAACAACATCAGCATCTTCAGATGAACCGTCTTCAAAGATAACCTTAGAATGAGAGCCATTTTCTTCGAAACTTGTGGATTTTTTATTGTTAACGACCTTAACACCCAATTGAGTTAATTTTGAAACAGTTGTCGCAGATTTGCTAGAACCCAATTGTAAGAGAGGACCGGTCAGTCCAGTGTATAATACAATTTCCTTTTCCTTACCAAAAAGATAGCCTAGCTCCCCTGCTGTTTCAACACCTGTTGGACCACCACCTAATATGATAATTGTTTTTGCACCTTTGGTTGATCTATTCAACTTCCTGATAGAATCAACAGTGTCTTGATAATTACCATCTAACTTGAATGCCGGGCTATCTGTTCTAGAACCTGACGCCACAATTAAGTAGTCATAGTCAATTGTTTGTCGGCCCTTGGCGTTTTCCACGATTAAACAATTATTATTAAAATCAGTGGAAACTACGTCCCCTAACACAAATCTATAATCTACGCCGTTTGAGTATTTCTTCAAAGTTTTTTCAACTGGGAACAAAGTTTTATCAATTTTGTCTGGTTCAACAATTAACCGTGGTGTACTCACATTAAAATATGCATTTGTAGATGATGATATTAAAGTGACATTAACTGATTGATCTTTACGACCAAAGATTGATTTAGCTGCAATAATACCAGCGTATGAACCGCCAATAATAACTATATGTTTTGAAGAATCTGTCATTTTTGCAATTTCAGGTATTAGTTTGTAGGCATAAATCGGACTATCGCGCGTTTATGTTCGTATTTATTCGAGATGCTTAGAAATGGATAAACTTCATTTATAAAAATTAATAATTATCTCCGTCGGATCACGATACTAATAGAGAACTATCCGAGTACTTCAAGTGAACGAACATATGCCAATGGCATTGCCATTGACGTTTTACAATTTGTTTGTTGGACAGGCTTAGAAATAAGTGTGGTTAGATGACTAACATGACAAATCAAAATTGCACGACTTGACTTAACTCATCTAGATGGTAAGTGTTCAGCCTTCTACTACCAAAAGAGTCGAATAAGTTTATTTATTTATCTCGCAGATATACTGGATACAAATTATTTACATTAACTTTAAATAAATTAATGAGCACCAGAGATGAAGAACCATTTGTCAACGGACTTGTCAATTGGAGCAGCTGGTTGAACGGAAGCTGGTGGGACACTACTGGCAGCAGCTTCAGAGAAGGTTTGGGTAGATGACAAGGTGGTGTTATCTAAAGCGATACCCTTAGACTCAGCAGCTTCACCCTTGATCAACTTTTCCCAAGCTTCGCTACATTCGTTGATAATTTCTTCGGCGTACTTCTTGTTCTTACATTCACCGGAGAAAGCGAATTGGTTTTCTGGCTTACCATCTGGAATCTTGTAGATTCTGAACCATTCGTTGGTGGCTCTCAATAAACCTGGCAAGTGGGTTTCGACATCTTCAATGTCATTTAACTTTGAAGCCAATGGGTCGTTGACATCGATGACAATGATCTTCCAGTCGGTTTCACCTTCATCTAATAAAGCCATGACACCTAAAACCTTGACTTGCTTGACTTGCCCGACGTATGCGACTTGTTCACCAATTTCACAAACATCTAAAGGATCGTTATCACCCTTAGCCTTGGTTTCTGGGTGGACTTGATTTGGGTCTTCCCAGGTTTGTGGGAAAGCACCGTAGTTGTGAATGTAACCGTGGTGTGGGAAACAGTTACGGACAAATCTCAATTTACCCTTCTTGGTATCTTGGAGAATTGGGTTTAATTTTTCTTCCTTGGAGATTTCTAACTTGGCGTTAGTCCATCTTGGGACCTCAACAATCATGTTTAAAACAGTCTTTTCTTCATTAGCGTATAATGGAATATCGTGAAATGGAGAGACTGGCTTTCCATTTTGTTCAATGAAGACTCTGTAGTCTAAAGTGTTTGGGGCACCAATTTGACGAGCTGTAAAAGACATTTTTATTTCTTAATTTCGATTAATTGAATAGAGAGAAGACAAAATTAAAGGTATTAACTGAAAAATCAAGTATAGCTTTCGGTGTTTCGTCGATCTACGTGGGAATGTTACCCGCAGCACGTGTAATTATGTAATGACTACGTAGATTCTTATTTTTTTGGTTGCAGACTACCTTTTTGTTAATACCGAATAATACAATAATCATACCAAATTGCTTGGTATTATGTGCTTGCAAAGTACCCATAGGACACTAATGAATGTGTTGTTTGATTTTTCTCAAAATATACTCGTTAGGACAGGAATCGACAATATTCATTTCGGATTTCTTGAATAGAACCAAACCTCTAGTAAGCTCTCTGTGCCATTTGTCCAATTCCTTCGCCTCCAGAACGGGTCTTTGTAGGAGCTTGATGTCTCTAATAAAATTACTCATCATTCTCCAATCTCTAACCGAAATGTCTAGCCATCCACTAGCATAGTCTGTTAAAAATACCCCCGCGAATGTTAGCAGCGGACATAGCAACGCATCGAAGTTTTTGCCGTATTTGTAGTTTTTGCAGATGCTCAAGCCGTACACATCGGAATCCATGAACGCCAATATTGGCACATCGGGATACAACTGGCCCAAATTCCCCACAAACCGCTTCGTGAGATTATCAGGGAAACCCTTGCCCGTCACGGCAATCAAATTGACGTCTATATTTTGGATATACTTACAGAACGACTTGAAAATCGCCTCTTTTTCAATCACTACAATACCCTTCGGAGGCTCCGCGGCCTCCAAGTCGTTCGTTCTGGGGATCAACACCGGCTCGTCCAAGTCCCACGCCACCCCCGCCCGTCTGAACCGCATATTGCCAAACATAAGCCCTTTCTGCGACGCAAATATCTTGAGGTCCCTTTCCGCGCACATCCCTAGCGACCCCACGATGCATTCAATCAACTCATTAGCAAACGGTTGCGATTTCTGGAACAACCCGACATCTTGGTAGTACACATCTCTCTTCGTGGTCGTCCGCTCCTGCACGAGATTAACTATCATCGTCTTCAAAACCTTGATTACCGCCGCGAACCGTCTCGCTTCCAACTCGCACCCGCCCAATTGTCCCACCTCATAACTTTTACTGTTTCCGCCAAACGTCCTCTTACGGCTCCTACAATACGGTTTGTGGAATACAAACACGATATCGCCGCCAATATTACTTTGAATTTGGTTCCATACTGCAATTAGTTTTTGCAACGGTGATCTATACCGCATTAATATTTGATGTCATAATAGTTTAATTTTCAAGAAAAATAAGGTCTGCCATACGTTGGTTGCACATCTGGATAGAAATATACCCTAACCGGCTTAATTACATAGGTATTATACTTCATTGACTATTGTGAATTTCATCGTAAAAAGAGCCAAGAGTTCCCTAGTTCTATCGAATGAGAAATCAGATGAGAGAAAAAATGAGACTGTGCCCGGCCCAAAGAATAAATGATCCTTATAAGAAACATAAAAAAGGGTCCGAATTCCGTATATAAATTCTGGGAGATATCGGATATCAATATGTACTTAAAGAACATTAATAAGAGAGATTGGGAAGATAGTTCGTGGACGGGAGGAGGAGGTGCAAGATGGGCATTTTTTGCTGTGTTTATTGTGCTTATCCTTATAGTGGTGTTGGGTACTATACGAGTAAATAAAAAACGGTCCCAACAGGGAATTCAACCAATCTATGGGACTCGTTGGATGACACCTCCGTCGTACGTGCAATCACAGACACAATACAACCAACCTAATACTAGGGACCCCGATATGCCTACAAATTATGTTCCAGCGTACTCGGCCGAAGCCACCGAATACGATATGGGATACTACGACAATAGTGGCAAATTCCATGCTAATCCAAATGCTAAGTCACAGACACAAGTTGAGATGACAGATGTTACATATCCTGAAAATGCACATCATCGGCTGACAAGTGGGACTGCTGGAGCACCGGTGGGGCGGATACCTACGCTTAACGAAGAGAGCGATGAGAACGAGGACGGGGACTTGTACAGACCGCCACCGGGGCCACCACCGTTTGCCGGTCGTTCGGAGACGACAGGAACAGTAGCGTCGGATCCTCCTACAATACCAGGGCAATTTCCTACTAACGAGAGGACCACAGGAAACTAATCGTTAGAGTGCTGGAACACTATATTGCGAAGTGAATAGAGCGTCATTTATACACGAATTTAGCCCTATTGAAACTAATATCCGATGCCCATGATATGCCGGTGGAATGAATCCTGCTGACATACCCTGGGCCTAGACGAGAGGTGCGATGTTTTATGAAACAGTTACAGAAAAGCCAACCACAATCTTCTGAATTCATCCTGGTTGTTTGCATCCGTGATCAGGACTTTGTTAAGGGTCACCTATCCGCTGTCGCAATATGCATAGTCATACTTTATAGTTTTTAATTAAATCAATAATTCGAAGTAATATGTAGACAGAAATTTTGGCGTTGATGGTCTGCTGATATAATAATGCAAAATATTTATTGTGGTTGGTTACAAAAAGATATAAAGAATTGAAAAAATGAAATACCTAGTGATTATTCATCTAAAGGTGCATTGGAAATATGAAACTCCTTGCTCAGTTCATTATTTGTGGCTTTATCACATTACCTCCACTCCTTCATTGCCTTCGATTGCAGGGACAATCACAGGCATTGTTAAGCCTTCCATCGCTAAGCCTGATTTATGACGTTTGATATCGCCCCAGAATCTACGTACGTCTCCCTTGGAAACAAGTTGAAGGCCAAGTGAAGATGGAGTAACCCATTCGTTAGCAGTTCCAGCTGCCCTGTGTTTGTTACCCACTGCATCTAATACATATGTACCAAGGACGTTAACTTTGACTTCAGTTACGGGATGATTACCAGGAACGAAGAAATTTGGAAGGTCAACAAAGTGTCTTGCTCTTCTGGTCATATCTTTAATCAAGACGCCTTCAACTTTGTCATCGATACCATTTGTTAAAACATGGGACCAAGAATTGTTATTAGGACTAAAGTATTTGGTATAATGCACAGTAGAACTAAAAATATTGATAGACAAGTCATAGCCTGCAATTCTGGCTGCCCATCCCATTTTCCAGGCATCAATAAAGCTGTAAATGGCTCCCTTACGTGTACGCCTTAATGGCTCCGGCAAGACAAAGTTACCAGAATAAGGATTTGCTTCGTCAAATACGGCCAACGGATATACCAAATATGGCGAGCCCACGAAAGGAACCCCAGTGGATAAGATATGACTATCTTTTATCAAATAACCGTTAGATTCAAGAATAACAGCTGGAACCTCCCATGTCTCATTTATATTGACAAGTTCTGGATAAAAGACGTATACGTCACCCATACCATTCAATGGGGCATCCAAGCCAGTTGCTAATGAAACAGCCGACGCAAAAAACGTTTCTGGGGTTAAGAATAATGTATCATCAAAACTCGATTTATCTTCTCCAATCAAAAGCGATGCCTTTGCATCTCTAACAGCTAATCCAATATTTAAAGTCGATGCTAACATCATACCGTAAGTGAATAATAGTTCAGGTTTGGCGATTAACGCAGCCCAGTCTTCTAATGCTTTCGCTTGGATGAAAGCGGCTTCGCCTGAGTTCAAGAATGGATATCTACCACGCACAGACCCAAACTTCGGTAAATGAACTTCGGGTACATGTGTTAACCAGGTCATACCTTCGGCAGTATCAGGATATACGGTTAACATAACTTGAGCAACTATATTAGTTGCGGTATAGAATTGGTTGTAAAGGTTGTTGTGAGTAACATACTTACGCAAAGCACTCCAGATTACCCTTGATTTAGGTAAGTAGTAAGTTGGAGCAGTTCCCTCGGCATCTAACCATTCATTCAAAGAAGAAATAGGGTTTCTGTATCTGTACATAATCTTTTCCGCTAAGCGAGGAGTGTAGAAGTCTAGCTTATAATTTGTTTGCGGCTTCCATTCACCGGTCATCATCAAAACAACCTTGGCTTCCTCTTCCGTAAGTGGTCTCAATCGATATGCGGATCATCGGTGACAGGCAAAAATTCGGTCATTGGATTCCAGTATGGGTAACTCTCATCAACCCTTCTACCAGGCCATGTCCAGTTAATCGCCTTATCTTCAAGTGGCAAAGTATCATTTAAATCGATGATAACATGTCCATCATCATACACCGGAAATTTACCCGTAGATAGCTTAGAACGTTCGTCGAGATCGGATAAAACGTAGAATCTAAGCAAATTGACTAACAAAGCTACGTGATTATCATACCATCTCCAGCCTGCAACATTGTATGCGTGGCCTGCAATTACATTGCTTTGGAAACCAGCCAGGTTTTTCAATTCTTGGAAAACATTATCTGTAGAAATTGCACCGTCCAAGGTCAAATACTTCTTGTTGAGCCCATCCAACGACGATTCTACTTCTGACATGCTTGTCAAAACCTTACCGACCCAAGTATAGTCTTGTGAAGCAGTCAAGCTACGAGAAAATGTTAAGTCATCGTACTTGAAATCAACACGGATCGACTCATGGTACTTGCAGTCCCATCTGTTTGTTGGGAATGGTAAAGATTGTTTTTACCCTTAGAATTTAATTGATTAACGAATTTCAACATTGTGATCTTTGATGATGCGGTTGTTATTAATGTTTATATGAATTATGCTTATATTTTAAAAAAAAACATATACAAAATTTGTTGACGGGGATAGCATTGAATAAATAAACATGTTTATAGACGAATAGTTAATTCCCGCGCGTAAGAATTGTTGTGACATTATTTACCCGATCATGATAGAATTAAACCCTGCACTGTTACGACCCAATATACTCTTTGGTCGAATATAGGTTGTCAATGTATGAGGCAGCTGCACTACAAGGTACTGCTGTAATTAGTGAATAATACTATATGGTTACCTTGCATGAAGAATTCCCATCTACCATGAAAAGAGGATTTGCATGCTTGATGTTATGCTAAACGCACTCTTACTGCTCTAAGGGCTCCTTTTCTTAGTCCTCAATTACGAGGTTGGGTAAGAAAAAGCCTTATTAGCCTTGAATAAATGTTTGCTTTGGCTCATAATAAGAGATAGATGGAAATCTCTGGTTGCTTTTAATGTTACCCCGATTGCCCCAAGTAAGCAAGATCAGTACAACTCTATATGTTTATAATTTCTTGTGTTATATCTCCTATTAGTTGAATTTCTCTACGAGTTCGTCCTATAGTAATGTGTTTAGTGATTGCATACTGACGTCGTCGATGTTGAACTTTGAATCGTCGCCAATATTTATGATTAACCTCGAATTGAGATATTCAGTCTTTGCATATATTTGTATTTATCATCAAATTGAGCTCACTGGTATCGGTAACAACCGCATTGGTAATTTGAATACTATTTCTTTCTGACCAAAATCGTTTTTATTACTTCAAACGCAAGGGACATGAATTTCTGTTGCCTTCAGAACGAGTTGTAATTATTACTCTCATTTGATTTGAGAATTGTAATAAAAGACTACTAAAAGAAACGGGGAGATTGAAATTATCAAGTAACTGCTTTTAATCTGAAATGGCTAGATATCGATTTATTTATTGCCATAATTTTGTAGTTATTGAGCTTCTGAGAATATTTTTGACATAAATATTTTTTACGTACCAAGAACTTACTTGAAAAGACTGGAATCCATTTGATATATGCCTACGCGATGTCATGAAAACAGGTATAAGATTATAATTTTTTTTAAGCTCATGCTTCTTTTTGTCGCAATAGAAGCCATTAGAGTTTGCCATAGCCAACGGAAGATGGTAAACAATATTCTCGTATGGAATTAACAGTAAGGATTTGATCTCATACTATGAACCTATATTGAATGGTAGAACACTCGCATGTGGTGCGATTTTTCTGAGTTCAACTCTCAGTGGTTATGGATAACTTTAAATACAAATCCAATGACCATAATACAAGGTAACGGATTGGTGTAAACAAAATTGTTATATTGTTCAGTATGTATCGACTTATGTAGGAAAAAGAAGTCTGGGCTAAAATCATTTACATAATACTTCATCAGCATGATTGCCTAGTTCACCAATTTCCATCATTTTAATATCAAATGGACGGTCGATTAGGAAATTATTTTAATTGGCTCATCAAACCGTTATCTACACCAGGTTAATGAATATGTTTCTTCATTCTGCATCCTTGATGGTGTATTTCGTAAGTAATACATACCCTATCACGCCAAATAGTAGACGATACAAGGTTTTGTGTGCTTGTGTTACTCCGTTTTCTTACATTCTACATAACATTCCTCAGTATATGCTATCGATTCAAACTAGTCGAACCAATTAAATGTTAGACTCTCTTAATTTGCAGCTTAACGTGTTAACAAACGTACACATTGATTTGTGTTTGTTCAATATTAAAAGGCTATACGGACAGCATATAACACAAACCGATAGCATAGATGACTACATTTCTATTGAATCCTATAAGATACAATTACAATTACCGTGGTCATATCCAACGAAAGACCCGGCTTTATACCCGAAAACAGTATGTTCTACGTGCTTCTGCTAGTTTTTCAGCCGTAACTCAATCGTATCCAAACGCCTCGCCCGAAAATCCGACGCCATTATATTCATAGTATCTAAACAAACACCGCGACTTGCATCACCGTGTTGAACCACAAATGCCGAATCTCATTTAGTATACATACTACAATAGTAAACCGTCGTCAATTTTAACAGTTCATGCGTATTTGACGCAAACAAGTCACTATTGGTACTACTGAAATACACGTATTGTACGGAAAGTAGCATCAAAAACACTGTTTGCAGAAAAATATATGAAATACATGAGAGTGAAAATTTTTAAAGAACCCCATCATAACATTTCCAGATAGCTATATCTCCATGTGAACATCTATATATGTCTCACAACGTACCGTGGTCATCTAGATCATCGATTGGCCATCGGCGATGTTTATGGTCACTTGATTCCGCGTGGAAGAAAATTATTTCTCACAGAACAACAGCAATACTGTATAGCCAGTATATTTGTTCTACCCATGCTTCGATATCTCATGTAAATGAAGATTCCGTATGACATCATACTCATCGGGCGCAGGTCTTCTAAAGTTGCTCATTACCAGCATCGTGTATACTGAAAAAATTATGTACACACCACTTATGCCATATTCTGCTTAGAACCAATTAGAAGACCGTGTCAACGATGCCTGCTTGTTCAGCATCGGTCCACATGACTACAATTGCTTAAGCCGTGCCTAAACAGCTTTGTGAAGAATTTCATATGATAAATAATGGAATTGCATTGTTTGAAAACATATGCTCTGCTATTGTTCCTTATTGCTCATCTTGAATTCGTGACTTTCAAAAAATACATATAAGAGCAATTGGTTGTTATTTTTATTCTATTCAGTTTAGAGGATCAATTGACTTACTAAAGATGGCTAGTAGCGACGAAGAGCCAGCAGATTCATCTGTATCTACGTTTATTTCCACATTAATTCCAACATTGGTTATTGCTGTTGTATTTTATTTAGTATTTGTTAGTCTTAGAAAGAAACAACAAAGAGTTTATGAACCAAGAAATGTTGTTGAAACCGTCTCGCCAGACTTGAAGCCTGGTGAATCTCCAGCTGGATTCTTTGGTTGGATTAGTTTCTTGTTACATAAACCAGAAAGATATATTATTCAACAAGCTGGTGTTGATGGTTACTTTTTTATTAGATTTCTTTTCGAATTTGCCGCTATTTGTTTGATGGGATGCTGTATTTTATGGCCAATTTTGTTCCCTGTCAATGCAACAGGTGGTAATGGTGAAGAAGGATTTAATATTTTATCATATGCTAATGTTGCCAATAAGAATAGATTTTTTGCTCAGATTTTTTTGAGTTGGGTCTTCTTCGGTGCTGTATTGTTTTTGATTTACCGTGAATTGGTTTATTACACCACTTTTAGACATGCCCTTCAAACCACTCCTTTATATGATTCATTGTTATCTTCAAGAACATTGTTATTGACTGAAGTTCCTGAAAACTTATTAAAGGAAACCGAGTTGAGAGGTTTCTTCCCTACTGCCACTAATGTGTGGTATGCTCGTGATTACGCCGAATTAACTAAAAAGGTCAAGGAAAGAAATAAGCTTACTAGCAAGTATGAAGGTACCTTGAACAAGACTCTTACGAAAGCTGTCAAAACCAGAAATAAGGCATTGAAGAAGAACAAGGAACCACCTTTACCAGCTGATGATTTAGACAAGTACTTGAAGGATGGTAAGAAAAGACCAAGTCATAAGTTGAAATTCTTAATCGGTAAGAAGGTTGATACTTTGACCTATTGTCCAGAAAGATTAGGAGAATTGAACACTGAAATTAAGAAAGACCAGGCTCAACATAATGCTAATACTCAAATTCCATCAGTTTTCATTGAATTCCCAACTCAATTAGAATTGCAAAAAGCCTACCAAGCTATTCCTTATAACAAGGAATTAGNAACACTGAAATTAAGAAAGACCAGGCTCAACATAATGCTAATACTCAAATTCCATCAGTTTTCATTGAATTCCCAACTCAATTAGAATTGCAAAAAGCCTACCAAGCTATTCCTTATAACAAGGAATTAGGTAGCTCTAAGAGATACACGGGATTGACTCCAGATGATGTGATTTGGGAGAATTTACATTTGACATCTTCTAAGAGGAGAATCAAAAAGATAATTGCTTCGACGGTATTGACTTTGATGATTATTTTCTGGTGTATTCCTGTTGCTGTTGTTGGTGCTATTTCGAATATTAATTTCTTAATTGAAAAGGCCCCTTGGTTAGAATTTATTAACAATATGCCAGACAAACTTTTAGGTATCATTACCGGTCTTTTGCCTGTTGTTGCGTTGGCTATTTTAATGTCATTGGTTCCACCATTTATCAAAAAGATGGGTAAAGTTAGCGGTTGTATGACAGTTCAACAAGTTGAATCCTATTGTCAAGCCTGGTTTTATGCATTCGAAGTTGTTCACGTATTTTTGGTCGTGGCTTTATGTTCTTCTTCAATCTCTGCAGTTCCCCAAATTGTTTCAGATTCGAGTTTACTTATGCCGTTATTAGCTCAAAATTTACCAAAATCTTCGAATTTCTATATCGCTTACTATTGTTTGCAAGGTTTAACTATTTCTGCCGGTTTATTGGTACAGATCGTCGCCTTAATTTTGGCGCAATTTTTGGGTAAGATTTTGGATGGCACTCCAAGAGCTAAATGGAATCGTTGGAATACTTTGGGTCAACCATTTTGGTCCGTTATTTATCCAGCTTACCAATTGTTGGCTGTGATTGCGTTTTCATATGCTATGATTGCTCCATTAATCTTAGGATTTGCGTTCGTTACATTCGTTTTCATTTACTGTGCTTATATGTACATCTTGATCCACGTTATGCAACCAAACAAGACAGATGCTCGTGGTAGAAACTATCCAAGTGCATTATTACAATTATTTGTTGGACTCTACTTAGCGGAAATTTGTCTTACCGCAATGTTTGTTTTCGGTAAGAATTGGGCTGCTGTCGCCTTGGAAGGTGTTATGATTGCAGTCACTGCTCTTTGCCATATTTACTATAAATGGAAGTTCTTACCATTATGGGATGTTGTTCCTGTATCTGCTATTAGATATGCTGCTGGTGATGGAACCTACCAATATCCAATGCATGATCAAGGCTGGAAAGAGATCAAGATTGAAGGTGAAAACTACTGGCAAGGTGGAAACCAATTGGGCTTGACAGGTGACCATGATCAACAAGTATTACCAAACGTTAATGAAAAGGATACCTACTTGGCAACTGGTTCTGAATCAATTATCAATGATGGTACTAGCCAGTCTAAGGTAACCACTGACTCTAAGCAACCAATAAATAGAAATAATGTTGTTGACGAAAAGGCTATTGAAAGCTCTGGAGTAAGAAATAGTGTTCCTACTTCTAAGCCAGAAGGATCTGCAATTACAAGATTCTTCAAGCCTAAGTTACAATCATTTGACTTTGTTAGAGATAATATGCCTGAGCCTTATTTCAACTACATTGAGTACAACCCAGATTTCGTTAGAAATGCTTATGAAGATCCTGTTGTTAATGATGAAGAACCACACATCTGGATCGCAAGAGACGAAATGGGATTATCTGAAATTGAAAAGAACAAGGCTTTAGAAAACGGAGTCGATGTTTCAGACGAGAATGCTATTTACAACGAAAAGGGTGAACTTATTTACACAGGAGCTCCACCTTCATATGAAGAAGCTTTGAAGGTCTAATCTAATGTTGTATTCTAATGTTCGCGTTGTGTCTGTTTTAATATCGAAGACAATTATATAATTTTTTAATTTTGATTTATTTATTACTTCTTGGCGATTCTATTTAATTATTTACTTTCTACAATTTAATGTTTCTAATTTTAACGATTATTGGTGTAGGTCTATAGAGAGGGTATTAATCTCGCATAATTTGCATAATTTTAGTGAATCGAAGTAAATCTTGCATGATCACCTCGATACGAAAGTTGCTCTCAGAAATTAATTATTATACTTATTTTTAATCATTTTAGAAGACCAATTGACTTAAAATGGCTGGAACAGAGGAGGATAACTCCGTTTCTCAATTTATATCAACGTTAATTCCAACCTTTGTAGTTGCTGCAATTTTCTATTTGACTTTTGTTAGTATTCGAAAGAATCAACAGAGAGTTTATGAACCAAGAAATGTTGTCGAAACTGTATCGCAAGACTTGAAGCCTGGCGAATCTCCAGCTGGCTTTTTTGGATGGGTGTCCTTTTTATTGCACAAGCCAGAAATATACATTATCCAGCAGGCTGGTGTTGATGGTTATTTCTTCATAAGATTTCTCTTTGAATTTGCGGCCATTTGCTTGATGGGATGCTGTATTTTATGGCCAATTTTGTTCCCTGTCAATGCAACCGGCGGAAATAATCAAGAAGGGTTGAATACTATATCATATGCTAATGTTAGAGATAAGAATAGATTCTTCGCTCAGATTTTCTTGAGTTGGATCTTCTTCGGTGCTGTATTGTTTTTGATTTACCGTGAATTGGTCTACTATACCACCTTTAGACATGCCCTTCAAACCACTCCTTTATATGATTCATTGTTATCTTCAAGAACATTGTTATTGACTGAAGTTCCTGAAAACCTATTAAAGGAAACTGAATTGAGAGGTTTCTTCCCTACTGCAACTAATGTGTGGTATGCTCGTGATTACACTGAATTAACGAAAAAGGTCAAGGAGAGAAACAAGCTTACTAGCAAGTACGAAGGTACTTTGAACAAGACTCTTACGAAGGCTGTCAAGATCAGAAACAAGGCATTGAAGAAGAACAAGGAACCACCTTTACCAGCTGATGATTTAGACAAGTACTTGAAGGATGGTAAGAAAAGACCAAGTCATAGGTTGAAATTCTTAATTGGTAAAAAGGTTGATACTTTGACCTATTGCCCAGAAAGATTAGGAGAATTAAACACTGAAATTAAGAAAGACCAGGCTCAACATAATGCTAATACTCAAATTCCATCAGTTTTCATTGAATTCCCAACTCAATTAGAATTGCAAAAAGCCTACCAAGCTATTCCTTATAACAAGGAATTAGGCAACTCGAAGGGATACACGGGATTGACTCCAGATGATGTGATTTGGGAGAACTTAAGTTTGACACCGAAAAAAAGGAGAATCAAAAAGATAATTGCTTCGACGGTATTGACTTTGACGATTATTTTCTGGTGTATTCCTGTTGCTGTTGTTGGTGCTATTTCGAATATTACTTTCTTGATTAAAGTAGCTCCTTGGTTAGAGTTCATTAATAATATGCCAAGTAAGCTCAAAGGTATTATTACCGGTCTTTTGCCTGTTGTGGCTTTGGCTATTTTGATGTCATTGGTTCCACCTTTTATCAAAAAATTGGGTAAAGTGAGTGGTTGTAGGACTGTTCAACAAGTTGAATCCTATTGTCAAGCTTGGTTTTATGCATTCGAAGTTGTTCATGTATTTTTGGTCGTCGCTCTATGCTCTTCTTCTATTTCATCTGTTCCAGATATTGTGGAGAATCCATCTTCTCTTATGCCATTATTGGCTCGACAATTGCCAAAATCCGCCAACTTCTATATCGCTTATCTTTGTTTGCAGGGTTTAACTATTTCTGCCGGTTTGTTGGTGCAGATTGTTGCATTAATTTTGGCGCAATTTTTGGGTAAGATCTTGGATGGTACTCCAAGAGCTAAATGGAATCGATGGAATACTTTGGGTCAACCATTCTGGTCCGTGATTTATCCACCTTACCAATTGTTGTGTGTCATTGCGTTCGCATATTCCATTTTAGCTCCATTAGTGTTGGGATTTACGTTCGTTACTTTCGTCTTCATTTATTGCGCTTACATGTACCTATTGGTTCATGTTTTACAACCAAACAAGACAGATGCTCGTGGCAGAAACTATCCAAGCGCCTTATTGCAATTATTTGTTGGACTCTACTTAGCGGAAATTTGTCTTACCGCAATGTTTGTTTTCGGTAAGAATTGGGCTGCTGTCGCTTTGGAAGGCATTATGATTGGGTTTACAGCTCTTTGCAATATTTATTATAAGTGGAAGTTCTTACCATTATGGGATATTGTTCCTGTATCTGCTATTAGACATGCTGCTGGTGACGCGACGTACCAGTACCCAATGCACGATCAAGGCAGGAAGGAAATCAAGATTGAAGGTGAAAACTACTGGCAAGGTGGAAATCAATTGGGCTTAAGTGGTGACCACGATCAACAAGTGTTACCAAACATTCATGAAAAAGATGCCTCCTTGGTAGCTGGTTCTGATTCGCTTAGTAATGACGGTACTTATAGCCAGTCCAAGATGACCACCAATTCCACTCAACCAACCAACAGAAATAATGCTCTTGACGAAGAGACATTTGAAGGCTCTGGAATAAGGAGTAATATGCCTTCTTACAAGCCAAAGGGTTCTAAGCTTGCAAGGTTTTTCAACCCTAAGTTGCAATCCTTTGACTTTATTAGAGATAACATGCCAGAGCCCTATTTCAACTACATTGAGTACAACCCAGATTTCCTTAGAAACGCTTATGACGATCCGGTTGTCAAAGACGAAGAACCACACATCTGGATCGCAAGAGACGAAATGGGATTATCTGAAATTGAAAAGAACAAGGCTTTGGAAAAAGGTGTCGATGTTTCTGATGATAATGCTATTTACAATGAAGAGGGCGCTCTTATATATACTGGTGCTCCACCTTCGTATGAAGAAGCTTTGAAGGTCTAAGCTAATGTTTTACTCTATTATTTGCGTTACTATAATATCGAACACTGCGGTATAGTTTTGACATTTTTACTTCTGGGCGATCCTTTCAGTTATCTACGATTCACGATTTACGATTTACGTTTTAATGCTCTACTTTTTAATTTTAACGACTATTAATGTAGGTGTACTAGTACATAATTTAGTTGATCTGAAACAATCTATTTCGGACTCCGATACGAGGATTGCTTTCCAAGTGCAGCAGCTCCACATCCCTTCCGATTTCAAATCTATACACCCATAATACCTAAGGTTGCGAATTTTAAGTAAGCAGAACCCATAGTCATTAGCAAACATACTAACTCCACCTTTAGTCATATAAAAAGAAAGCGAATCACCGAGAGAGTATTTTATATTATATTGAACGTATCTTATAGTATAGCATACAATTGTCTCGGAAAATACATTTATTTTAAAGGATTATTTATATTAAGAGTTTGCAATTATAATAAGACAATGTTTAGAAGAATTACATTAAGAGCAAAGCCAGTCCAAGCTGTGTTCCGTCGTAACCTTGTGGATGCCGAAATTAAGGTACCCAAACGTCCCATTGCTGAAAAACCTGACATCGATGGACCCTCTGCAAGTCTTAGTAATGGCATGAAGGGCCGAAAAACGTTCCCTTCTGGTTCAGCTAGAAAAAGCTTTTTTAGAGAATTACCAAAAGCTGTGCAAGCACTTATCGCAGTGGGTGCAATAATGGTATTTTGGCCTATGGCAACAGTTGGAATAAGTAAATTTAAGAATTCGGTTCCTACTGATGATACTGCAGCTGTGAAGATCGGTGCTAACGGTGCAACAACTGTGGATATTCCTCAAACATACGCACATATCGATAAGCCAGCTGAAGACGAAGACGAGTGAGCTTAAATTTTTTTAGCTATGTATATCAATTAAAGATTTGGGATTAATCGCCTAATAATTATATATTAAATTGTAAGAGTGTAGTATAAATGCTGGAGTAATGATGCGCCCAAGTGGAATAATTATATTAATCAAAGAACTTTAACTTGGGGATCATCATCATCAGAACTAGCTTGGAGCTCTTCGTCTTTGGATGGTTCACCTTGAAGACCAAATTCCCCGTCCCAACCGTGATCGATCAAATAGTTTTTGAATTTGATATCCTCTTCCAATAAATCGTCTTCTTTCAAGTGAGGAATGAGGAAAAATGCTACTAAGACACCACTCAAACCACATATAGCTGCAATTATAAACGTCCATCTCTCCCCCTGAGGAAGATTGGTTTGAATTGGGGTGAATGTCTTAGTACCAACCACGGCCCCGACTTTGCCAATGGCGGCACTAAAACCGTAACAAGTAGCCCTTATTGGTGTCGCAAAAGACTCCAGCGAAACTAATCCCATCATGTCCCCCGGCCCTAAGTTACCTGAACTCATCATAAGACCATAAAATATAACGAACAATGCCGGAATCTTCTTTAGTTTGTTGTACGCTATTCCTACGATTAAACCAAAGATTATATAACCACAGAAACCAATAATTAAAGTGTACTTCCTACCTATTTTATCACATAAATAGGCCCCGACAAGAACACCCGGAATAGCTACGATACCCAATAACAATTGCCATTCAGCAACTTTTTCCAAATCATCGGTGTCCCCCAATATTGTTTGAATAATTCCACCAGAAAAGACACCGTTAGGGAAAGTGACAAAATCATACAAGAACCAACAGCCGCAGGTACCAAGTAATCTTGGCCAGTAGTACTTAAAGGCTAACCAATATGGGACACGTCTTTTGATAGCACTTTTTTTGTATAATTCAGAAGTGGCCATTTTAATACGGAAATAGAAGACAGATAATGGCCAAAATGCACCAATGGCAAACATTGTTCTCCATAATCCGGAATCAACCCCCTTTGTTATTTGATAGACAATCAAAAAGATTATGATTGCAAAAGGTCCACCAAAGGATAATGGTAAGTTAGTACATAAGGTAAATGCACCTCCTCTTCTCTTCATCGACTCATTTGCAGCCTCATTGGCTGAAACAGACGAAGCTGGATACTCAGCACCAATGCCAAAACCTGTCACACCTCTTGAAATAATCAACATCCAAAACATCCCATCAGTAGTAACACCATGAGATGCAGCACACATAATAGTTCCTAAGATCAAAAAACAAGTTGCAACCACAATAGACCATTTACGCCCAATATAGTCACAAGTAAACCCTATCGCTACCTGCCCAAAAATTGTTCCTACCAAACTTGCGTTCGATACGGCTGTCTTCATCTCAGCATCGTACGCTTTTGGGTATAATTCCGGGAAAACAAGGTTTAACATTGTCATAACGTTGTTCTGGTAACCATCTGATATCAAGGCAAACCCAGCACACAAGACAACCAACACGTCTCTCAATTTAGTGCCACCTTCCAATCTTTGTTTTCTTATCTCAGAGTCATAAACAAAGTGCTTTTTATTTCCATTATTGCTTTCTACGATATCATCCGAAGACTGGTAAGACTGAGACCTGACAATATTGAAGGGCTTCTGGTCTTTTTGCATGTCACTTACTACCTGGCTCATTTTTGCTCTAAATAAAAAAACAGTGAAAGTGGTCCTCGTTAATTACCAAATACAATAGAATTTAAGGAAGGTCCTGACGTATATTTATACTTTCAGAATAATAGAAAATCCCCCTCTTTATCATAAAGGAAATTAGAGTTTAGGTGCCATTTACCACTTCGTCAGGGACTATAATTAATTAAACTGCCTTGCATCAACACGTTCAATATCAATGTATATCACACGTTGTTTAACTACTAGAGTATGATATTCATATGCTTCGTGTGCTTATCTTTAACACCACGTGCATATATGTCGCTTTTGGCTTTATAATTGATGTATTTTTTGAATGAAAACTGCATTATACACTTTCTTATTTCAACGCACCCTATACCTGTTCTACAAACATCTGTCTAAAATATTGCCATATTCAAAAATAGCACATGTCAAGCCAACTTGTCCCTTGGTCATCTTATTTCTTGGTGTCAGATTTTTTAGAATGCTTCTCCATATTTTGCGATGTAGTAAAATGACAAAACCGTTTGCCCGATTAGGAAAGCGTACGAATGGCACATTTTTCTCCCACGTTTAAACCTAATATTGAATGGAAAAAAACGGATGGTAAGACGCGTCGGTATATGACGACTTTAAAGGCTTACGATCTTGAACACATCCTAACGTGGCTAAAAAGTCTGATGTGATGAGCTATTAGTAGCGAGTTAAACGGGATTCCAAGCTAGCCGTGTCATTTTCCTCACCACTTCCCCCACACGACCCTCCACGGTCATGTCCCAAACTTATGTAATATTAGGACATTCTCTGGCACAAAATTACATAATCAATAACTGAAAATTTCAATTATTACTCACACCTCCAGTATAAAGAGTGCATTTTGCATCTTTATTCTGGGGATAATAAGGATTTATTAATCGAAATATAAGATGCCAATGTTAAAGGACCCTTCGGTAAAGTACCAAAGATTTCAGCTGATAAAATTACCAAATCGTCAATGGCCAAGCAAGGACTTGGACAAGACTCCTAGATGGTTATCTACAGATCTTAGAGATGGGAATCAATCTTTACCAGATCCTATGTCTATTGCTGAAAAGAAGGAATATTTCAGCAAGTTGATTGATATTGGGTTCAAGGAGATTGAAGTTGCATTTCCAGCTGCGTCGCAGATCGATTTCGACTTTACCAGATATGCCATTGAAACTGCCCCTTCGGATGTTTCGATCCAAGTTTTGTCTCCATGTAGGGAAGATTTGATCAAAAGGACCGTTGAGTCATTAAGGGGAGCTAAGAGAGCTACGATTCACATTTATCTTGCCACTTCAGATTGTTTCCGTAATGTTGTTTTCGGTATGACCAAGGAACAATCGGTCGAGTTAGCTGTAAGGTGCACGAAATTGGTGAGATCTTTGACGAAAGACGATCCTACTCAAAAGGACACTATTTGGGACTTTGAATTTTCGCCGGAAACATTTTCTGATACCAGCTTGGAATTTGCAGTTGAGATATGTGAAGCGGTGAAGTCAGCATGGGGACCTTCGAAAGAAAAACCAATCATTTTCAACTTGCCGGCTACCGTAGAAGTGGCCACTCCAAACGTATATGCCGATCAAATTGAATATTTTTCCACCAACATCACTCATCGTGAAACGGTCTGTATTTCATTGCATCCTCACAACGATAGGGGTTGTGCTGTTGCCGCTGCAGAATTAGGTCAGATGGCTGGGGCCGATAGAATCGAAGGTTGTTTATTCGGAAACGGTGAGAGAACCGGTAATGTCGATTTAGTAACCTTAGCCCTTAACTTGTATACCCAGGGTATTGCTCCACACTTAGATTTCTCTGATATTAACTCGGTTATTAATATAGTGGAAAAGTGTAATAAGATTCCAATTCATGCGAGAGCACCTTATGGTGGTTCATTAGTTGTGTGTGCCTTTTCTGGATCGCATCAAGATGCTATCAAGAAAGGGTTCAACGCTCATACTAAGCAAATCAAGGATTCCAAGGGCAAGAATGTTCACTGGAAATTACCATATTTACCATTGGATCCAGAAGATATTGGAAGAACCTATGAAGCTATTATCAGAGTTAACTCTCAATCTGGTAAGGGTGGTTCATCCTGGGTTATTTTGAGAAACCTTGAATTAGATTTACCTAGAGGCTTGCAGGTTGATTTCTCTAAGGTAGTTCAATCACAGGCTGAGGTCAAGGGCCAAGAATTATCTAACGAGGAATTATGTGAATTATTTAAGGAAGAATACTATATTGATTATGAAAAGGACAAGTCCATTGATCAATATTACAAGTTACTCGATTATTCGATTTCCAATTCGAAAGAAGGTGTTAGAACCATTGATGTCGATTTAAAAGTTAATAATGAATCTAAATCTATAAAGGGTCAAGGTAACGGTCCAATCTCGGCATTTGCTGATGCGATATGCAAAGATTTAAAGATCAGTCTTGATGTTAAACACTATCATGAACATTCGTTAGGAGATAAGTCCAACGCTAGAGCTGCAACATATATTGAAGTAGTCTTAGATGATAAGTCTACAAGATGGGGTGTTGGTATCCATGAGGATGTCTCACAAGCTTCTTTCTTATCTTTAATCTCTATTTTAAATGGTCTTCGTAGAGCTAAGAAAGATTAAATTCGTACGGCTTCGCTACTCGATGCTAGTTTTTAATTAATGTATCTACCATATAGTTGACAATAAAATTTATTTTGTGTAATTTTGGTATCGAATACTCCAATAGTAGATTTTGGATTGTCAAATAAAGTAAGTACATAAGAACCGTATTTTTATTAGAGATGACACAAGACAATGAACTTGATTTAGCTCAAGCATATAAGCAAATAAATGAAGCAGAGGTTCAAGCTGACAGTTTAGAGAAGATGTTAGACCAACTTGATGCCAAGATGGATTCAATATTGAAAGAAGCGGAGGGTATAAATAAAATCAACGAAACTAACGAGACGAATGAAAATAATGAAACTAATTCTGGAGCGTCAGATTAATTCAAGTAGAAACAAAGTGACTAATACAATCTAGACTCTATTAAACTGTCTATATACTTATTTATCATTTTAATAAATTTAGCAAAGATTTTTTAGAGATGAATTCAGGCTCATCAGTTTTCATGAATGGATTATATGGTAATTTTGGGTTGATTATATTGACATTACCATCATGGGAATTATCACTATTCAATTCTGGAATACTGATCTTTGCTGGCTTCCCACTTTCAAGCCACCATTTCATAACATCGGAACTTGGAGCTGGCAATACCTTATCATCAAAATCAGCATCAAATAATGTCAAATTATTGTTTGTAATTAACGATTCATTAATATCACCAATGCTCTTTCTATAGTTTTCGTACAATTCATGCGACAAGTTCTTTTTGATTGTTTCGTCAATCACATTGGCGGACATTGTAAATGTTGCGTGAACTGGTCTGTGATCGGAAAATATCAAATCAGGACTTGAATCATACGATAATTGTTTAACAATCTTATTCCTTGATAAACTTAATATTCTATCTGTCCAAGCAGGAATTCTCTGCTTTTCGGATGTATCGTAGTTTTTTGTACCATTATCAAACTTATAAGTCGGAGGAAATGTTATTTCCATCTCATCAAAGAAAGGAAAACTTTCCCCATTAGCCATCTGCTTGTTTAGCTGATCATATTCAAATATTTTAGAGAATTCTTTCTGTTCAATGAGAGGCCTTATTTGTTCATTTGTTAACCCAACTCGGTAATTAAAATCACCTAACCAGATTACCGCATCATGGTCTCGAATTCTTCTGTTTTTTGAGAACTTGATACCTTTTGCAATAGATTTATAGTTTTGATGTCTTTCGTCAGTATTACTTAAACCAGCAGCTAAATGTGACGCAACAAGACAAATTTCTGAATTGGCATAGTTAAAACTCACTGCAACAGCACCTTTGTTAGCTCCCATTCCCCCGAATCCCGTTTTTTTAAATGATCCTTCAACGTTACTTACATCTTCAATTTTGTTTTCATTAACGAATAAAAATATTGCTATACTTCCAATTTGGCCACACCATAATGAAACATATTTATTATGATTTGGATTATATTCTTCTAACGCATTCTTTATTTTTCTTTCCCAGAAATTTCTATTGCTTGAATCTGTAGTCACCATTTTTCCAGCTGTTAATTCAGTAACCTCTTGAAATCCAATAAATACGACATCATAGTTAGTAGTGATATTTTCTTTTTTAGGAAAGAGCCACTCAGATATGTCACCCTCATAGCAAAGCCCATTTACATTAAATGTACTTGCATAAATGGATATATCTTCGTAGGAGCTAAATTCCTTAGCCCTTTTATTTAATTCTCTTGTAACATAGTCATGAATTGGATTATGAAGTTTTATATCTACTTGGTCTTGTAAATGACCCAATAATTTTAGCATTGCCATTTCACTGGGCTTTGGACTGACAACACTGCCCAAGTATTTCTTAGAAAGATGAGACTTAACAGAACTCTTCGTAGATGCTCTACTCGATGCTTGTAATTTTGATGAATTTGAAATATAGCTAGATGTGATTTTCGATAAATATTCATCATTTTCAGACCATAATTTAGCATGCTTAATAAATATATCAGGATCAACTGTAATTCCCGTATCACGGAATGCCAATTCAATAACTTCTTGACTTATAATTTTAGAAATAAAATTAGCCTTTTTAAGACTATCAAATGAATTTATACGGAAGACTCCTAGTTGTTTACCAGTGAAGTTTTTCTTTGACTTATCATAAAACAAGGCTCCATAATCGATTATAGAATCAACCAAAATATCAGATATATTGCGAGGATTCGAGGGCGTATAACCATATTTCTTTATTGTAGCTACATTTACCGGTAAATCAGTACATGGTAACTTATAGTTCAACGACAATTTTCCATTTGCACTTGAAGAATTATTCTTAATGTTGCTATTGAAATAATTAATATGCTCCTTATAATTATGATTGAGTTCACCTTTATAGCCGTCCGACGATAACAAGTTAACGATATGCACCTCACTAAACTGATTAACAAGTTTATCAAAGTGTCTAGCGAAGGCATGTTGAGATGCTTCAAATGACCTTGGAGTAGAAATCTTCTTATTCTTTTTGGATGATAAGAGTGACTTTTTATTCGGATTTTCTAATTCCCAAAACGTCGGCACATTCCCTCTTACTAAAACGTAGGAGAAGCAAATCTTCTTGGTGTATATAATAATTTCAGTTTCAACAAAGTTCGAAACGTCACCTTTATCATCGACACCCCAATCACCGAATAAGGGACCATTTTTCATGCACGATTGCTTTGAAATGATTGTCAACAATGCTTCCTCATTTGGTGTTATACATGTATTCACAGTCTGGGCAAAGCCTCTTGTTATAGTTGTTAGAAACCCAGTCAAATCAAATTGTAACCTATCAGGAGTCGACAATCTATTACGAAACTCAATAAATTCTGAGATCATGTACGAATTCCACATAAATCTTTTAAAGTAAGGAGAATCTGCCATTAACGTGAATGTTGGATCATTTATATCTCGGAAACCTCTTTCTTGAACATTCGAAGTTATATCGAAATCTTTGGAATAATAAAATGCACCCAGCTCAAGCAATTTCCTTACTGATGCAGCAGGATATCCCGAAGAAACCTTTTCGGGATCATATTGCGGTGATTGCAGATGGGAATTTTGCGTATCCTCTTCATTGATCACCGACCTATTAATTAAATAGTCATACTCATCATTGTTTAAACAGTAAAAATCTACACCCGTGATTCTTTGAATATCTTCTCCTATCATCGGCGAAGCAATCTTCGTTTGACCAGTAATAAATCCTAGATGGATATTGTCATTGACGTTCAAAAGCCCAAGAAACCCAAGAAGTTGTCTATTCAGCTTAGACTTATTTGGAGTTATATCTTTATAATTACCTAACTTCAACATATCTTTTCTAACAAATTCAACAATAACCTTATTAGATGATAACCTTCCTTTGGAACTAGCGCCTTTGCTTGATGTACTTCCATGGTGATGATGCAAATGTATATGATGGTGGTGGATATGGTGGTGATTTGAATTTTTGTATGTAGGGAAAGGATGTCTAATAATCAACGCATAGTTATTACTAACTATTATAAGAGTCCTTGGTCTCTCATTGAGGTACAATCTCATTCCATAAAGTCGATTGAAAGAAGAGTAAGAAATAAGTATATATCGAAGTAGTTCCGTTTATAAGGCTGTACGCTAGGGTTGCGCACTGCGACGAAAATACCATACTTAATAATAGACATAATACAAATTTCAAAGTATAACAGGTGTCGAAGTCCAAAATACGAAGTTACACATTAAACGATATAAATGAATCAATCAAAAGTATTCAGATAAAGAAATTATATATTATTAGACACATACAACGTAAACGAAGAGAAAAACCAAAATTTTCTTTACAATATTCGACTTTATGCAGAAAGCTTTCTAGTATGCCTTTTTCGACTTTTTCTGCTTCAAATGAGCTTCTGGAATCCATTCAGAATTGTAGGCCTTACCGGTGGCAACAGAAACAGGACTCGGGGATGATGCTTTCTTAGACTTAGCGATTGGTGCAGTTCCTTCGATATATCTCTTGCCCCAAATATCATAGACGAAGTAAAGGATACCACCAATGGTAGCCAATAAAACAGCTTCCAAAAACAATAATTGAGGGTTGAATAATGAGATTGGTAAATCATTCACGGTAGCCAATTGTCCTCTAGCCTGGATGAACTTTAAATCTTCTTCGACAGCAACAAAAATTTGAGGTGTCAACAAATAGTTGTCTGCAACCAAGTTCAAGTCGATCTTTTGGATAAAGCTAGCCTTTTCACCAGCAGCGACCAAGACTGGACCCACAGCAGCAGCTGTTAAGTTTGTTTTAATATTTCCATTGGCTGGGTCACGGAAAGAACCACCAACACCAACAACGGAGATCTCCTTATCTTCGTTGTTGGTGACACTGTATTCCAACGAGATAGCTTCACCGTTGGTTAATTCAGCAACATCGGTGTTTGAAATCTCTGGAAATTCCGAGATAGTGTAATCTACGACAAAGTTAATTGATCCTGTAGCCTTTTCCGGGTCAATTGGAGCAGCAATAGCAGAAGAAGCAACAGCGACTAATGCAGTAATGATAGAAAACGATAATTTCATTTTACGGTAACGTATGATTCGAGAAAGTTGCCAGTTAATCGGTTTTGATTAAACACGGTGGACATAAATAATGGACAGTAATAGTGCTCACATGACTTTCACAATTTTTTTTCAATTATCACCAATTTAGTAAGAAGCCTACGATAACTATACAAATAGTATCTGAATATACTATAATATCAACTCGTCAAAGGAAGCAGATTTCGAGGAATGGTATTATGTTGGAAAAATCTGCACATTAGGGTGGTGTTGAGGAATAATATTCATTTTAAATCGAATTCTCATACGGCTATACGACACATTCAAAATGAAATACCAACACCAACAGACCTACAATGTACAAGATTTCGGGGTGAATTGATGCGAGGACGTGATATTGATGAAACAAGAAGGAATAGTGTAAATATAAGGTGGTATAGTACCGCGAGAAAGAATAACTACTTGAAAGAAGATGGAACTTTTGAAGCCATGACACCCATAGAAATCGACCCAATCGAAGATAGGAGAAATCAGAGAACGCAAAGCACAGGTCATTATCAGAAAAATATGTTGAACGAGAAAAGACTAGCTCGTACGCAAAAGAGACAAGTTCGTGAAATACAGCGAATGAAAGAAGACGAGGAATTGACGGATAACTATCATAGACAGCGGACTACAATAGTGGAAAATTTCTCTAATCCAACTCATATCAGCGGATTGTTCAAATCAAAACCTAAAGCAATTTGGGAAAATGCTTCAGATGAAAAGAATGAAAAATCGGCGTCCAATTATAAAGACCTAATGAATATATTGAACAATGGTTCTGGCTTTAGATATTACACGTCGGAAATTCAGAATACTTTGAATTTAATATCGACATATTTTGTGAATTCCATACTCGTGGAACTAAATATAAGGAAAATATTTGCAGATAAGAACTTGAGCAAATATCCGGATTCTTTTTTGTATAGAAATTCGTTAATGAATAATATTAAGGACGAAAAGAAGAAGAACGAAATACTAAAGATCCTTGTTCAGTTATATGATAGAAAGGAGAATGATGATCCCCAAAGCTTTGATCATTTTTTCGAAAGTTTAAATCGAAATGTTATTGAAAAATTAATGGGTAAAGAAATACTAGAATCTGATTATTTCAATTCAGTCGAGTTTTATAGACATAACTTCAATGTTTTTAAATCATCGCAGTATTTGAATTATGACCATTCTGATACGCTAAGATTTATCCAATCTTCTCAACCAGTGAAATTTAAAAGCCCGGAGCAAAATAACGAAGAGTATTATGTAAAACTTGAACCTATTTTCAAGGCGTATGATAGGAATGATCCTTTGGGTCATTTGAACTTAATTGCAAGTGTGTCCAAAGTATTAATGACTTGTCAAGAGTACACACCAACTATTAGTATTTTTAATTACTTGCTCCAGAAACTAGGACAAATAGGATTATACAATTATCAATCAGTAGTCTTTGATAATTTACCATCCTTCAGATACAAACAATCTTTATTAGCAACCCCAGAACACAATTTACTAAAGGCACCAAAATTGGCATACCAGTTACAGGATATTATAGAAGATGATCCTAAATTTCTTACTAGCTTCATTGACTATCAAGTGACCAGAGATGAAAGTGAATTTTTCAAGGAGTTGTTATCATTTTATAGACTAGAAGAAATAGCAGCTCATGAAAAGGTGTTAATGAAATCAAACTTGAAAAGTCTCGTTTCAAAGTCAAGGTTTTCTAGTTTGAGATCACACATTCCTCAATCTATATCGTTCAACTGTGAAGATGCTCTATTTACATCAGTTGACTCGATTTATTCGACCATCAACGCTTGCATTGATTTGAAACAATTCGAATTTATTGATTTGCTAGTTAGCAAATTGATCTTGCATTCAGTTACGATAAATGACAAAATAAAGGTTGCATTAACGTTTGGAAAACAAAATAATATTAAAACCACCGAATACTCGCTTCTAATAGCAGAAGAGCTCTCGACATACGACTTGTCCTGCAAAATATTCACAAAAGATTTATTTATCCTATTATTGAGAGCATGTCGCGAGTCTGACGACGTGGGAAGGTTGATGTGGTTAACTCCTCATTTAGATTTATATTTGTCCACAAACCTAGATCAAAGTAGACACCATTTGGAAACCATTAAGCAATACTTCAATGATTTGATTATACATCAAGCTGCAGACATGCCAGACATCAAAACGTTCATAGATCAAGATTCAAAAGCTCTCATCGACTCAAAATTGATATCCTCTATCCATGAAACATTTTCGCTATTCGGAATAGACGGTAAGGTGTTGAAATATGATGATGTATTAGATTTCAAGAACACCGTTGCAGATCAAGTATGTTTAACCAGACAAAAAATTGATAATGAGCGAGAAAATATAAAAAAACACGGTGGAAAAGTGAATTTGAACCACTATCTGGACGACCTATACTTCTATCTCAACCCAGCAGGTGCATACGGCGAAGACCCTACCAAAAAAACATACAAAAGATAGCATTCATATATGTATATAGTGTAAATAGGCATAATATATAGTCACATGACTTAGTTCATCCTCCAATTTTTTTTTTTTTCATATAGAAGATCTAGTTGACACTGTCACAGATTAAGTTGTCGTTAACTAAACAAACAAGTACTTATAAAGCCATTTAGTTAGCCTAGCCTCAAGAAAACACCTTGGAATATACCGCATCCCGACGAGTATCTGCTACGAATATTTGAACACCAGAAAAATGAAATTTTTAACTACCAACTTTGTCAAATGTGCTATTAAATCCTGTGATTCCTCTGCCGACTCCTTCCCATTACAATACTCCGAGTGCCAGTTAGCGCAAGAAGAACAGGACTACAATCCCGAGTTTATAAGTCACATATTGGAAAGATTGGACTGGGATGCCATCATCAAAGTTGCAGCTGATTTAGGAAACACATCGTTACCTCCTACAAAGCCAGAAGACTTGGACCCAATTATGGAAGACAATCAAGTGATATTGAAGGACTTACACAACTTATTAGTCGAAACTCATATTTTAGAGGGTAAGATGACCTGCCGTAATTGTGGCCATATTTACCACATCAAAAATTCCATTCCAAACTTTCTTTTACCACCACATTTATGTTAAAATAGCCAACTGTTCATATCATTTTGTACTATATTAATTTATATACTTTAATAAACTATAAGGAACGAACCATGAACTATCTTCTTATCTGAAGGTGACATTGTTAAAGGTGTTTGGTAGTTCACGTGTATAGGAGCCCCTCAGGCTGAAATCGCAAACAAATAAGTGGAGGAATATTTCAATTGATAAGTGATTCAACAGAATAAGTCCATTCAAGCCAAGATATACAGGGTAAATACATCAAATAAGAGTTTGTTATATCATCTAGATCAATCTATTTTGAAGTTTCTGAAAAAAAAGGCAGTTCAAAGAGTAGATTAGAACAACGTCGCTAGAATCATACGTATTTTATTGCCAATCTGTCATAGAATAAATGCATGTACAAAAAATTGAAGATATTGAAGATCAATAATGGTTAATTTATCTTCTTCGAAATTTCATATTGCAGATCCTGCTGATGAAGATATACAACCGACACTGGCTAACGGAAATCAAAAGGGACACGAAGATTCGTGTAATCGAAGCAGTACACCAAAATTTGGGTCTATATCGAGGTTTTTTTTCAGTAAGGAGCAGTCGGTATCGTCCGATGTGTCCAACGCTGATTCTATGGTTAGTTCGAATACGGACAGTTTAAATCAAAATCATGGGTCCAAAAGTGGTGTAACTAACAGCGAAGCAAGAGAGGATGAGCATGACGATGCGAAACAGCAGCCTGGGTTGAGTAAATTGAAAAGTTTCTTGAGACTTTCTTCGAATTCGCTTCTATTGTCGAATAATGGTCCGAATGATAATGGGGATCATAATGGTCCGAAAGGAACCGATGTCATAACGCCAAGTGCCGAGTCGCTCACTCCAGCACATAGCAATGAAGAGAAGGGTAAGTTGAAACATGAGGGCTATAAAAACGAAGAAGGCCACAATGGAGATAAAGGTGGCTCTAATGTATCAACGAAGCAAGAGGCCGGTGCCGGTATGATGAAAAAGTTCATGCTTGGAAGAAAGAGATCAGTTTCGAGTCCAACCAGTCCTGCGACCGGAAATAGGAAACCGCAACAGAGTAACCTCCTGATTAATACAGAGAGCCCGAAGGATGTCCCAGAAATCATTACTGAGAATACTGAAAGTCCTGTGATCTCGTCTAATCTTTATTTTGCCCATCAGGGTTTACCGCCTCATATGAATAATCAGGATAAAAATAATCATACTCTTGCTGCAAGTGCAGCCAATGAAGATGATATTTCCGTTGCTTTAAGGCATAACGATTCTGTATTCTCGCTCAATGATGGTGGGCCTCTAAAGCCTCCCCATGTATACCAATCAAAGTTATCTGTAAGTGATGAATCAGGCTCTGAACCTGATGCAATACCAGAGCATACTACCGAATCGGGACTCAAGACTCCAGAAGAAAGCACTTTGCAGAATAAGAACAAATTGGAGGTTCCTCCACATACGTTACCGCATCCTGGACAAGTTAGTCCTTTCCAAAAGACTTTAAGAAGAGTTGCATCTGCACCATTAGTTCATAGATTACTCAATGATTCGAACACGAGATTGCCACAAACGAGAGCTTATGTTTCGAATGACGATGAATTTGATATCACTGAACATATTGGTGAATTAAAGAGCGGTAGACCGCGGACATTAAGTAGGGGTAGAATGTACTCAAGTGCTTCTACCAAGATCATGAACGCCCAGGTTAATCAAAATAGTTTTAAGAAAATTAGATTATTAGGTAAAGGTGACGTTGGTAAAGTTTATTTGGTTAAAGAGAATTTGTCGAATAGATTGTACGCAATGAAAATCTTATCTAAAAAGGAAATGATCGAAAGAAACAAAATTAAGAGAGCATTAGCTGAGCAAGATATCTTAGCTACCAGTAACCACCCATTCATTGTTACCCTATATCACTCATTTCAATCAAATGATTACTTGTATTTATGCATGGAATATTGTATGGGTGGTGAATTTTTTAGAGCCTTACAAACAAGGGAAACCAAAACGATTTCTGAAACTGATGCTAAGTTTTATGCGGCTGAAGTTACAGCTGCATTAGAATATTTACATTTAATGGGATTTATTTATAGAGATTTAAAACCTGAAAACATTTTATTGCATCAATCAGGGCATATTATGTTGAGTGACTTTGATTTATCGAAACAATCTGAAAGTACAAAGAATCCTGAGATTTTTTTCAGTAAAACATCTCATGGTTTAAGTTCTAGCAATAATCACAATGGACCAACATTAGACACCAAGGCGTGCATTGATGGATTTAGAACTAATTCATTTGTCGGTACTGAAGAGTACATTGCACCTGAAGTGATCCGAGGCAAAGGTCATACAAGTGCAGTTGATTGGTGGACTTTGGGTATTTTCATTTATGAAATGTTATTTGGGACTACTCCATTTAAAGGAAGAGACCGAAAGAAGACGTTCGGCAATGTTTTGAAAAAGGAGGTTAAGTTTTTGGAGACTCGCTCAATTTCGTCTAGTTGTAAAAGTTTAATCAAAAAATTATTGATAAAAGATGAAGCAAAGAGATTGGGTTCAAAAACAGGTGCATCCGATATTAAGAATCATGCCTTCTTTAAGAACACGCAATGGGCTCTATTAAGACATCAAAAGCCTCCGATGATCCCTGTTTTAAGCAAAAATAAAAAAGCAGATAAAGTTGAGAGGTACGACAGTGAAGAAGATCTTGTCACGGACAGCACTACAGATGTTTCTGAGAATAAGGATATTCTTAATGACCCATTTGCAAACTTCAGTTCTGTTACATTACATTATAATGAACTAGATTCAGGTAATGATCAAATGGTATACAACGAAGCAGACAACACGGTATACACAAGTGTTGCATATACTATGACTAACGATTCTTCACCAAAACCTAAAAATTTTCTAAAAAGATGATTTAAATAAAAGTTTTTATAATTTCATTAGTAGTCAAATGTAAGCACTATTAGAATATTTAGACGATAAAAATAGAAATTCGAATTCATTTTGTATGCCAACTATCTGTAACTACAATAATAATTAAATTAATTATGTTTAATTGAAATTTTATGTATTTTATAAACCCAAATCATTTATTAAAGAATAAATGCCATATGCGAAAAATTGTAATGAAACGTTTCAAGAAGATTAAAATTGAAAACTAAGTAATGTACAAGATGAATGCTGATAAAATTATGATGTCAAAGAATCTAACATTCAACTAAGTCAACAATAGCTAAGTGAACGGCAGAGCATTGCTCAGCAATACTTTCGTCGTATAAGTTGTAGAAATCACCAGAGTGACATTGGTAGAAAATAGTTTGGTCACCTAATGCTAAGAGACCATTTTCAGTAACAGACCAACCAGCAGCATAAATAGAGCCAGCTTGTGGTGGTGGACCATCAAATTGGAATTGTCTATTAGAAACAATAGCACCGATTCTACCCTTTTCGTCAGTTAAGACTGAACCGTTCAATTGCATACCTAATGAGCTGTCACCAACACAAGATTGTGGAACGGTGGAGTCAGAATCGGAGGGAGATTTAGCAGAATCAGTTTGTTGTTGGACTTGACCGTCGTTTATTTGAGAAGCAACGGTAGCAGTAGTTGGGGATTGGGAGGTTTGTTGTTGGACTTGACCATCACCGATTTGGTTAACAACAGAAGCAGTTTCAGCTGCAGCAGTTTGTTGTTGTATTTGACCGTCACCGATTTGGTTGACTACGGAAGCAGTCTGAGCAGTTTGTTGTTGAATTTGGCCGTCACCGATTTGGTTAACAACCGAAGCAGTTTGAGCAGTTTGTTGTTGGATTTGACCGTCACCGATTTGGTTAACAACAGAAGCAGTTGGGGTTGGTTTTGCGGTTTGTTGTTGGATTTGACCGTCACCAATTTGGTTGACAACAGAAGCTGTTTGAGCTGTTTGTTGTTGGATTTGTCCGTCACCAATTTGGTTAACAACGGAAGCAGTTTGAGCAGTTTGTTGTTGGACTTGACCATCACCAATTTGGTTAACAACGTCATCTCTCTTGGCAGCACCACTGGCAGAGGCTGCAGCAGTAATGGCAGAATCGGTTTCCGCAACTGTGGAAGAGATAGCAACCGAAGATTCAACCGTCTTAACTTGGATACCGAACTTATGGGTGTGGTCAGTGGTAGCACCAGTTGGAGCTGACCCAGTTGGAGTTAAGGTGGTCCATGGTTCAGATGGAACATAAGCAGCAAGAGTAGAAGCAATTAAGGCTGTAGATGAAAATATAATCGAGTATCTCATATTTGGTTGATTGGTGAAGATTTGTTAATTAATACTTTTTAAATTTCTTCAATCTTGGGGTAGAGAAAGACATTTATATACTTTTTGAAATTGTTTCGTCATTTGCACAATTTAATAACATAATGCTTGCAATGGAAGCAACGGATTAAGGGGCAATGATCCTGACGTTGATTTATGCTGGTATAGTCATACAATCATGACATGCACCGATTTATGCTGGTTGTCCACAGTATTGTTAATGGCTGGTTATGCTGGCTAAAGTGAAGGCTGCGAATTTCTAAACAAACAAAAATACGTCATACAGGTTGCAAGCAATAACTTAAAGTGTTAAATTACATGCATAATAAATTAGCCTTCGTATTTGACGTCTGTTCACGAGCCTTGACATAAGGGGGCGTTGTTAGTCCTAAAACAGAAGTTATATATACAAGATTGGTGATTGTTCTCGATATGAGTCGTATTATTATATAATCTACAAGATAAATTATAGTGTACTAAAAATAGTCATTATGTAATAAAAGGACCTATTTCAATAGATTTGCGACAAGCCTTGCGTAAGGGATAACTAGATTGCTTCTATAAATAAAACGACGGTAATTCGTACGATTAGACTCCTACTAGTAGGATAAGGTCTTAGAGTGGAGCACTAGACAAAATGATCATACAACGGCCAAAATTGCTCTTGGAACCAATTTCTCAATGGAACACCGAAACGGATGCGCGATACGTATGCTAGATTTTGAAGATGAAGGAAACAGGAATAGCTTTGGTCAGGCATGAAAAATGGACCAGCAATCTCTACATACACATGTGGGTGTACACTACACTGGGTGCTTATGAGGGCCAGTAATAAGATGTGGAACTGCATAATGACATTTAGGATGAGAACCTTGCGGCACCCGGAGATTTTGTAGAGCAGATTCTTTATGTTCATGACATTGGAATTGTGCGGACGATGTTATCATAAGATAATAATAAAGCATATTTGGTATATTACCTAATCTAAGCCGAAAAGTGTAAGATAGTGAAATAGAGATTTGCGAACAAAAACAAAGTAAGAACAAGAATTCGACACATCCAATGTAGACACAAGGACTGATTAACAAGCGAAGTTTTTACAATTGGAAAACTATAGCACGTTGTTGAGTGTCTAGGCATATTGCTGCAAAATTTGTTTTCATTTTTTATTCATTGAATACAAGAGATGTTTTCAAGTAGAATTACTCATTTGGTAAATTAGTTGCGCAAAAACATTAAAATTGCGGCATAGTTCATCGGTAGTATCTCTTATACAATAGCCTTGTTAAAATCAATCATCTCAAGGACGAGAGACGAGAAAACAAGGACGAGCAAACTTTATGGGGCTTAGGACGGTATATTTAGCAGGGGTGCTTTCTAAAACACTTCTGGCATTACCGAGTTCGTTGGGCCTTGTTTTTTAATGTTACTGTCTAGGTAGGCCGAAGGAGGTAACACAATGCGTCGAAAAGATCTGCGGAATAAGACAGTGCTCAAGAGATGGGACTTACAGATGATTTTCACCATCCTGAAATATCAACTTGTAACAACTGGATAGGGCGAAGCACTGACTAAAACGGGACGTACAAAGATGGAATTATGTTATCGTCGATGGCTTATTACAAGTCGAAGAAATTTCAAATGTAAAATTGTAACTTCAATTTGTAGTAGATAAATCGAATGAGCCCCAAAAACAGAGACATGTTTGAGATAGTATAAAACAAGCTTACAATATTTGTAGGTAATCTTATATTGTTCGCCAATGTTGCAGCTCCCTGTCAAAAGTAAATTTGGGATTATAGGAATATTAAAGTATAATTTGTTATCAGTGTCAACAACATATTAAAGTATAATTCAAGTTATGTCTACAGTTGGGAAAACTCCCTTTGAAAACTAAAACTTTATCAAATATTGCCTGAATAGGTTTTTCTCCAAGTACGGGAAACAAAAACAGTAAGGCATAATACTAACAATACGTTGATGTTATTTCATCTTGTTGTAATTATTTTGAGTTGGATTGTCCAATAAGAAAAATTACAGGAGTCCAACGTCGTCTTCAATAGGCCACTTTTGCTAAGACTAGATTATCCTCGTCGCAATTTGAATATCGGCACTGTCTTATTAACAAAAATTTATACAAATCATTATCCGAATTCTAATGAGTGGGTTGTAATTATATGTTTAGTCTGATTTGCATTATTATTTAGGACAACATGATATCCACCTGACATCAGGAATAAACCTAGACTTAATCCATTGGAACACGAGGTCGTGTGGAAAGAGTTAAGTTCTTGTGATAAAGTTTAAGATGAAGAGCATCTAGAATGCTCGAAGTATATCAATCCTTAGTAAAATGTTGCAGATATCCAGGGTTTTCTCGTTAGGGACTGATTTGAGGACTAATCGCTTTAAATCAACCATTATTCACTATAATTTATTCTATTTTACACCATAATCAACGTACTTGACATCTAAACCTGAAATTACTGATTTTTATATATCCGGTATACTAATTAATATATATTCGTATAAAAGATGATGTCAACAAATTTCATCATATGACAGTATCATCATATTAAGCAATATCTCCGTTCCAACGTTTCTGAGAAATTTTTACCGAATGAAGATTTATATGGGGTTATTATACTGGAGTATTACTTATGGGAGGTGTAGTTGCTCGTATTGTTACTTTATTTCGAGGTCATAAATCTCAATGTCAAAAGCTTCATTATATTCATTATTTTCTTTTTCTCAGTCGATGTAATGTAATTTTGAAATCTAAAAAAACCCGAACTAGGCCCCAATAAACAAGATACATAACATTGAATGTATCGTCTATTCGTTTAACCGACGGTGTGATGATACCTTCTTGTAGTCTTAAATTTAGTAACTTTTTGAGTGCATAATATGTGGGGCATGGGAACTTGCACGGCATTCAAATTTACGAGCATCATGACGTTCTCGATGTAATCCGATTTTCATGTCTAGTTTAAATAGATCAATTTCCGTCGTAGGTGACCATAAGTGCTGTCTATAATGTAAAAATTGAAATATTGATATTTGTATTTCAAAAAAATTCAAAATGAAGCTGTCAACCCTAACAATCCTCCTTACTGTGGCTACATCAGTTAACTCCAAAATAGTAGATCACAAAGTTGAAAATTCAGAACTTAGAGTTAATTTTAACGATGGTTCTGGGGATGAATACTCTGGTGTGGTGATTCATGGAAATGAGAAAAGAGACGATGATGATGATGGGCATGAAAGTGATAGAGACAACGATGACAATGATGCTGATGATAATAATGATGGTAACCAAACTGACAATGATGGCCACGATACTGACACTGATGACGACAATAACGACCATCAGCGTACTTCTTCCTCTAAACGTAGTTCTTCCGTGAAGACATCAACACAATCTTCGAAACGTACATCAACAAGGAATTCGCAGGAAACTGATAAAGATGGCAACGAAACTGATAACGATGGCCACGACACTGATAACGATGGCCACGACACTGATAACGATGGCCACGACACAGACACGGATGATGATGATGATGACAACCATCATCGTACTGCGTCTTCTAGAAGTAGTTCATCCCTGAAGAATTCAGAATCTTCGAAACGTACGTCGATAAGAAATTCGCAAGCAACTGACAACGATGGTAATGAAACCGACAACGACGGCCATGAAACTGACACCGATGACGATGATGACGACCATACTCGTACCGCTAATTCCTCTTCCAAACGTAGTTCATCGCAAACTTCAGCACAATCATCAGAGTCATCGTCGACAAGTAATTCGCAGTCAACTGATTCTGGATCGGGGGCTGCAGCAGATTATCAACGTTCGTGGTTTGGCATATCCATTGCCGGTGCTATTGCACTTGGTGGCTTCTTGATTTAATATATAATCGTTACATAGGTTCAATTGACAATGTTATATGAAGAATTAAAGAAGTATTCGCAATAATACGTAAAAGTTGCAAAATATGCATGCATTTAAAAACATCCTTCTACTTATATAGTATCTTTCGTTATTTTTATCAGACAGTAAATTGGGTTGCTTGATCATAATCTTGATATAGTTATTTACATATGGTAGACTAAACTTCTTTTTCTAGTAGCTTTAAGAAACTAACTAAGTAGTGAATGATAATGATAAATTAACTATAACTTAAATAAATTGAACTAACAGGAAAACTTACCATACGCTTACTATTGTAATTCAATAATGAATTCATTAATTCTGCAAATTTCAATTATATTAACCCATTTGTTGAAGTGTAGGACGAAATTTACTGCATCACTCCGTATTGTAAGCAGATAACCACAAAAAAAAAAACAACCAAGACCAACCCCCATTCTAAACCGAATTACCCTAACATCCATTCACTTCACAGACTCAGAACCAGGACCAAGAAAGTATGTTGTTGAAACGAAGTAGACCATTGATGGAGCCAGGGTGTTTGGATGCAAAAATGATTACATAATATATAATTTTGTGTAATGTTCAAAAAACCTCAAATCGACTTAACCAACCATAATCAATTAAAATAAACTTACTGTACTAGAGAATAAATCAAATAAAAGGGATATAAGATGGCCGGTCACGCAGCTAAATATATTCGTCATGCAGCAGCATCGGCTCCTCATGTCGATCCACGTTTAAAGTGGACTTCTAAATTATTAGGTGCTACTATGTGGTTCGTTATTATGTACAGAGTGAAAGAAGATGGTCCAGTTATGTTTGGCCAAAAATTACCATTTGAAAACCATTAAATTACACAAGGTTTAGTCATGTCATCACGTTAATCCGTGTTCGGTTATATTTATATATAATTAGAATATTTAGTAAATAAAATTAATTATATTGATAAGGCCAGAATGTATGGTGATAGGTTTGAGGAACCTGAAAATCCGAGTAAGACCGAAAGAGAAAAAGTTGAATACATCCGTTCGGAGAGTAACTATACGTCAGGTTATCTACGGTCTTCCTCTACCCCTTGGTTTACCTCGAAATGATCTTCCTCTGCCTCTTCCACGGCCTCTTCTTCCACGCAATGCAAACCGCTTCCTTCTCTCATTCTCGTCATCATTGTCTTCATCCATGTATTCATTATTGTATTCGTCATCAGATTCATTATTTTCGTCTGCACCGCCATTTTCTTCGTTTTTGGGGTTATTTATTATAACAGCTTTCTTAATTCCCGTTTTTGGTGAATATTCAATCGCATTGAACGAATACCTCGAATCAACTTCTTCAGCTTCATAGTCCTCTTCAATTTCTTCGTTTTCATCATATCCATCTTGTAACTTAAAGTTAAAATTAAATCCCTGACTGTTGCAATAATCCAACTTAAAATTTCCATACTTATTCAATTTGAAAATCATTATATTATAATCCATTTCTGTAGAATTAATGACATGGTCACATAAATTAAAGTGCCACAAGTTATAATATGCTGAAAAGTAATAATCATTAATCTTTTTTAAAATTTTTTTACTGGTCCCCGTATCCTCAGGTACAGAATCATCCAATGTCAACGGTATTATCTTATCTATAGAATCATTTATTGAAATGGGTATTTTATCGAATAAGCTTAACCCCATTTCTATTAGTTTTGTTATGTTTTCTCTTTCAGGCTCCTCTGTCTCTTGTAATAATGCACTCAAATCAGGCTTGATGGCCAACCAATATTCCCCTAATATCATTCGTAAGCGTGAAAATTTCGATCTATAGTTTTCAATATATCCAGCGCTGCCCCCCATACTGTCGACAAAACTCATGCCGTTGCCCATTACCGGGTACCTAAAATGTAAACCTTGACTAATTGTAAAGTCTGCATTTGTTAAAATTGCCAAGTGTTCTAGTAATGGAGTCTTGATGACTGGAGCATGGGACATAAATATATTAATCGTCTTCTTATTCCCAGTATTCATAAAGTTTATATACAATTCAGCTATTTGGAGTAACGTTATCCATAGATCCCCAATTTTGCCCGATATAGAATTATAATGAAAATTACCATTATCGAATAAACTATGTATCTTTAAGTTACCACCAAGTCCGTATAGTTTAATATCAGGCTGAGATTCTAATGGACTCGAAATTTCATAACACTTAGTATGATCTATCAAATATAAATTGGGGATTTGTAATTCTCCTGATTGAAATTTATCTATTATTTGTGGATCATCTAATGGCCCAAATATAGTATATACTGGACATGGAAGTTTAAACTGACCATTTATATATGAGTCTAGTTGTGATATACCATTCTTCGAATCTTTAAGCTTTTGTTGGAAGATATTAATTTCATCCATTGGATTAGCATTCTTCGTTTGAACAGTGGATAAATCATTCAAATTACTAACTGTAGATTTGTCTAAAACTTCCAGGAATGCCACTATTTGCTTCAAATACTGTACATCTTGATACAGATCTATAGTGTCGTGGTTCCAAAATCCAAAGTTCCCCGTATGGATTATAAAGTCAATAGGATTTTGCTTTCTTATTTCATTGTCATACAACTCTTGCAAGGCAAGTATATTACCCTGTATATCAGAAACACTCAAGAACCTAAGGGAATCCTTGGTGCTATTCATTGATCGTTACCTTATCTTTGATTTTAACTTGTGTAGGATAATAGTTCTATTGTATAGTAGATTTATTTTAAACCTCTATTCAAAATTTCGATCGCGATTTCGAATACTTTGAATCAGATAACAACGCCAATAGAAGCTTATAGATTGCCACATATATTAACTGGTATGAAATGCTTGAACCCCTGGAAAGACTTCGGAATGCTATAAAGCTGAGTAATTTGCCGATAACAAAAAGACTATTGCATAGATTTCCCGAGTTATGGTTGAATAGAGATTCTGAAAATAAAGGATGGAGTAATTTACATTATGCTTCATACTATGGCAATTATTTGATTTGCTTTCATTTAGTGTCATTCATTAATAAGTATTTGGGAAATATACAGAAACATTATTCCAAAATAGACTTACTCACGTTTGATGAGTTAACTATAATCCATTTACCATTGATTCACCATCATTCACAGACATTGCATTATTTATTACAAGAGTTTCCAGGAGAACTATGGTTAAATCATCCTGGTGGGGATTTGAAACAAACACCATTGCATTATGGTTGCATTTATGGATTCAAGGAAGGTATTAAACTATTATTAGAGTTTGGGGCTGCGTGGGATGCAACAGATTTAAATGGTAATACTTGTTTGCATTTATGCTTTCAATATGGAAACTTCGATTGCATACAAGATTTATTGAAGTTTGTGCTAGTATGTTGTAAGGATAAAGATGAAGGATTAGAAGTTATTGAAAAATTCGAATCAATTAGAAACGAAAAAGGATGGCTTGCCATTGACTACGCATTCTCGTTTGAATTAGTTAAACAATATCGTTTCTTGAAACAAGAGCTATTTGTATTCAATCAAGAGTTAAGCGGTCCGATGCCATCGAACTCAGAGTTCACAAGGTCCAGTTCGTCATTCAACTTGAGCAAAGAACCTTCGCAAACTTCATTACAAGAAAATAAAGTCCTCTCTAGTCCAATCATTCCAATGTCACAATCACAATCACAATCCCAGTCACAGCCGCAAGCTCAACAAGATCAACAGCATAATAAAAATGTAAATGAGGATCCACAGACATCAACAACGGTATCAATCAAGAATAGAGCCCATTCACAGTCATTACCTAACGCAGATCCTGTCACAGATATTCAGACAAATAGGAATAAATCGATAAGTACAAGGAGAAGATCAAATACTTTATATAACTATAGGCCACCAAATCTGATAAATGCTAGCTCCCCACGAAATTCAACAGGTGGACCACATACTCCGATAACCACCCAGGCAGTGCTAAATAATACACCATCATTAAAATCGGTTACTATATCCCCTCTGGTAAGGAGTAATGGTAATGAGAATTCTTCGTCTCCCCAGTCGGCTATTTCCATTTCGTCGGCCATCAATTCATCTCCTAGCCATTCTGCCATTCGCAGGAAAAGCATGAACAATATGGCAATAATCCCACTATCTTACCAAAATAATGACGATCGTGATCAAAGGCGACCATCTTATTCTGGATCAATAGACGCAAGGACCGCTGTAATGGATAGAACTCCTAATAAATCAGATTCAACACCTTCACCCTCAAAACAATTACCAGATATAGTGAGACTACCTAGAAGATCATCGTCTATTATGTCTATAGGTGCAAAGCTTGCGACTGATGATTATAGTACAAGCAACCTAGACCAAGAGGATGCGAATATTTCAGCACCAACGATTACAAATGAAACTGTACCTATTTTAAGAAAAGCAAAATCATCAACAACAGATTTAAACTCGTCTCTTTCAAGACAAAAGTCTACTATTTTACAAAGTCCTGAGGTTGAAAGCGATAACTTGAAACGATCAAATATTAGTAGTATTAGTTTTAGCCGAGTTAGATAGAATATATATTTCGCGTCTAATTCAAAAATTCAATCAGATCTGCTATAGTAAATGTTTTTGTATTTTTAGACACTTATTGTGAAGAATGGCACCAGAGACGAAGGGTCAACGTTCAATCAGTCATTTCTTTAAAAGTCAAAGCTCAAGTCAAAAGCTTAACAAGGATGATACCGAAGATTCTGGTAATATAATCGATTTAACTAATGGCGACGATAAAGTGCCATCTAGGTTGGCAAACTTCGAACATAGACCGAACAAAAGGAGCGAATCGCCCAATGAAGTAGATAAACGCAAGAGAAAGAGTCCCAAAGACAACGAGCATGTTGATGGAGATCCAGAGCCAGTTATAAAGAAACCAAGAACTAGTCAGTCGATTTCGAGATCTAAGTCAAAACCACAATCAGTTGGATCA